TCTGAAGAAGGTGAGAAGCATGGACCTCGCATGCGCAGAATCGGCAAGAAATACAGCACATTCAAAACCTGCACATCCGCATGACGCAAATCCATGCGACGAACATGAGGTCGGGGCAAGCACTTCATGGCATTGACCGACCTGAGCAACAGGTAGGTAAGAATCAGGTGTCCTTAAATTTTGGCCGAGGCCAATGACCAAATGCATACACATACAGATTCATACAGTTTCGGCAGCCCGCCAAGCCCCAGCATCCGGACCAGCGCACCAACGCCATACGCACCGAGTCCAAGCGGAGCATCCCAGTGAGCCGCAGACAAAGCCGCAATATGCCGCAATACTGCCAAAAGAAAAGCTGATACAGCCAGAGAATGCGAGTCGTGCACTGAAGGATTAAGGATCTGTTCATCTGTTCTAGTACGCGCGTGCTCAAACTGCAACATGCAAGAACCCGTCCGGATCCGGAGCTCAGCGTCAGGCCAGTAGTCCGATATGGGAACTATCCACTGGCCGCTCTCAAAGAAGTACCTGCACGGCGCGTTGCACCTCCACTCCTCACCCAACGGGTTTACACCAAGTTTACACCATCTAAACAGTCTAACCTCACTCTATTGAATACTGGCACGGATTGAAAGCAATCATGACATCCGCTGTGGCATGCTGTGGCATCCTGTGGCCGCTGAGAGCACTCTGGGGATGTCCAGCCCACTATCCAAAGCATTCCGAACTGCCCGGCCTCAGTGCATCTCAGTGCCAATTCCACTGCGTCTGCAACGGGATCTATCTCTGCCGATGGAAAACACGATACCCAAGAACCCTAGTCGCTGAAACATCTGAAACTAACAGGAGCCGGTATTGGTAAGCTGTCGCCGAGGTGCAGCGACTGCGAGCATTGGAGCAAGTACGCTCGCCCTGAGTGGGCGTATGCCGGGGACGCAAAGAGGGGCGAAACACTAGATCTCTGTGTCAACGATCAAAGTTCCCACAGGAGTATTCGCCTCGGCTTCCTGCCGAGAAGCGTCTGGAACAAGCAGACCCGGATCGGGCCTCCTTCCCCCTAACCCAACCCTTCCCCCCCATGCCAAATTTTCTGACGCCACCCCCCCCCCCCCCCCCCGCCCTGTGGGACCCCCCCCCAATCCAGCTGCAAACCGATGGCGTGGAGGGTCAGGGGAGTGCCTCAAAACCCCCCGCCCCCCCACCCCCCCCCCCCACCCCCCCCCCCCACCCCCCCCCCACCCCCCCATCACCCCCCCCCCCCCTCACCCCGCCCTTCCTCCCTTTTTTTGCGAAACCCTCTTCCGGCTGCGGAGGCGGCGCGCGCAAGCGTTTACAATTACAAAAACACTTCGGAGAGAAAAGGAAGAGAATGAAAACAAAAAAAGATGCCTCCCACTGACGAAGATGAGGTTGTAGCACGTGTGGCTGAGATCGATGACTTCCTGCTCAGGAAGACTGGCTGATGTACAGGGTAGGGCGTGGCAATCTATGATGTTCTACGAGATGCACAAGAGGAATCCTCCTCAGGCTGCGGATCCACCAGCGGCACCCTGCAGAGAATGCAGATCCGTGCTGTGATTTTCTTTGAGCAGAAGTCTGCAAGATGTTGTGCAACATTTTCCATCACAAACACAGACAGCCTCACATCTTCAGAATGTGAGCATCAGGATGTGAGCACGCGTGGGAACCGGATCAACATCGCTAGTTGATGCTAAGCAGACCCTGGCCAAGCCTCACTGAATTTCCATTCGAAGGAGCCGTGGGATCTCAGCAAAAAAGTATTCTTAACCAAAGTTCATGTCAAGGTCCTAAGGCTGGTACTCTTCACGTAGCTCAGTTCGAGGTCTTGCCATGAGTGTCTTGCTGTCATGTCCTCGGCACTTTCAACAATTCCATTTCAAAGGACTTGTCTGCCATAGTTTCCGATGCGAGTGCCAGCGGCAATGAAGGCCCAGACCACGTACTCAGCCTTAGGCGACTCGTCTAAGTTGTCGATGTCCTGACCACTGACCAGACTGACAAGACCGCATGAGCATTCGTAGCGAGAGTTCAACCATCCAGCTGTTTGTTCCATGTTGGCTGTGCTGCATCGAACATCGCAGCGTCCGTTAGATTTAGGTCGTCTAGCCGGCACTGAGAAGACTGTTACACACAGTTGTGTGCCTCATTGTGTCAATGTGCCTTTCTTGCATTTTCTGCGCATGCTCCAAGCAGCGGGGCAAGCAGCGCTTGGGCCGGCACCTCCAGGTCTTCCATGTCTGATTCCCAGGTCCTCAACACTGCATTGGCAGCGTGACGCGATGGTGACTCGTTGTGGCACATCTCAACTGGAGCTACGAAATGCCCCGAATGTCGCATCTTCAGGTGAACATGGTGAACAGGCTCTGAATACAGCTGTTCTACCATCTATTCTGGTGTGAACCTGCCACCCCTCCAGCAACGGCTGTTTGCAGCACATGGCCCCGGCACAAGAACACAAGCAAGCTACTTTGGTGTGGGCTTGCGTCTGTTATTGCGAGACAGGGCAAAGGTCAGGCTGAACATGCCTGTTCAACTATGATGGCAGCTGCTACTTGCGTCTCTTGGCTTGGGAGTGATGCACAGCTCGTAAGGTTCAGGACATTGATGGATGTTGGGTCTGTTGGGCCTAGGCTTCTTGGCCGCCTAAAGAGAGGCCTGTGCAAATCGGATGCCAGCAGGAGCATAAACATGGCAAGACAACCTGCGGAATGGCAAGTCCAGCGCGGATTCTGCGGCCAGGTGTTTCTGAGACTCAACAGGTTCACAGCTTACATACCTCACTTTGGTGCGAAGTCGCATGCTGGGGTAGCTGGTCTGGATCCTGACTCTGCAGGATTCGGATCGGTGTGAGACCACAGAAAGTGCCCCTTGCTGGGGAAGGGAGAGTTCTACATTGATCTATTTAATTACTTCGATACCTCATTGAAGTCTTTGTGAGCAGAAGGCACCAGCTCGAAACGACCTCAAGCTACCTTTGGCCTGTCAGTCGTCTTCCGCAACGACGTTGAGTAAAACGTCGTGCGCCAGCAGCGTTGTGGCATCAGGCCTGGCATTGACTTCAACCTCGCTAAGCAAATGTGCCACACACGTTCCTGCAAAGCAGCAATAGACTCAATAGGCATATGCCGCAATATGACTCTATGACCCAAATCGAGACCCAAAAAAGAGAGAGGGCGCGCACACACACACACACACACACACACACACTCACTCACACACACACACACACACACTCACACACACACACACACACACACCTCTCTGCAGGATCTCTGCGGGTGCAGAGGCTGATGAAGTCCTGGCCTCAAGAAACCAGGCAAAATCCATGTGCATCGTGATCCGAGTCGATTCGAGAGCCAAATTACGAAGTGTCATGTCCTATTTCTTGATCTGTTCTGAGCTGGCAACATGCGGCAGAGATCCCTTCTGGGATGGGTGGCCTTAAGAGCACTGGCCGTGATGCAGGGGGGTCGGTCAAACCAGAGTGGACTACAGTACAGGTAGAACGAAGTTCATGACAGCATGCACTGCGCATCTAAGCAGCAAACGTGGCATCTGACATCGCGATCTTGCACATGGCAGCCTTGCGCACTGTCTGCATTCAAGAAGAGCGAACCCAGAATGGAGCCCTACGGTGAAAACCTTATGCAAACTGCTGTGCAGGCCAAGGTAGAAACATTAGAGCATTAGAAATCCTCAAAGGCTGTAAAGACAGCCTGTCTCTCAGCATCTCTCAAGTCGTCTTGTCCGCTTCTGAATATTGGACTGTCAATTCCGCAGTCCAGTTTCTGTTTGTTGTTCGTTTTGGGGGGTGCCGTCGATTCAATTTCCTCCCGATGCGCATGAGGCCGACGCCATGGGGTTGTCGAAGGAGCCCCAGGGGCTCTTGGCAGTCGCCATCTCGATCACCACCTGAGGGCTGAACAAACGCCGCCACGAAACTCAACCCGGTAAAACCCGGGCGAAAGGCTTGGGGCGAAAGGCTTAGGGCCTAGGGCGCCTTGAGGCACCCTCCACCGAATCCTCCCACTCGCATCTGCAGGGAGGCAAGCGCCCTAGGGGTTTGGCTGAGGGTGATGCTGGGCAATTCTCACGCCTTTGCCGCTTTTGCCCACAGAGCGGTAGCAAGGCTTGACAGAACTTGCGGAATCGACTTGGCGCAAGGCACACCCAAAGCTCCAGATGTCAGCCTTCCGCCCATACCCCGTGTTCTTGATGACCTGCAAAGGTTGTGCAAGCTGTGACATGTCGCTCATGTCCTGATGCGAACGGACTCTAACAGAGGCGTCTAGCGGAAGTTTAGCGGCGATGAACCGGTGACAACTGTTCGAACTGCTCTTCGTGGTTTTTCAGCCTACGGCAAATTGCTGAGAGCCCTGAGCCTCAGGTGCCATCCAGGGGATGGAGCCTCGCATGGTGTGCGACCTGAGGCTTTCGGGGCCAAGGCCAGCCCAAGCCATGAGCACTTTGAAAACAGTTATAACCTCTAACAGATAGATAAACTTTGTTATTGCCCTTGTGAGGGAGACCTTTTATCCTCTCGCATGATGTCACCAGGTGCTTCGACACCCAAAATATCTTCGGCTTCATGACGAACCTGCCTCGAGCTCGGCATGGACTATGGCTGAATGCGCAGCTAGCTTCTGTTTTTCACAGCCGAGACAAAAGGGAGCGAACGAAGAGGTGGTCTTCAGATGTGCCTAAAGCGTGCATCCTTCCAAAGACATGCCTCACGGACTTTAAGGCTTGGATTGCACACGCTCGGCAAGGCTAAGCAGGGCCTTCGGGCTGTCATGGCCTTGCGCTGAAACCCTGCTGCTTCCAGACGTACGTTGGCCATCCGTCGTGGCCACTGAGAAGCGGCCCCAGGTGACTGACCAGGCCATGTCCTCCGGTCGAGGCCTTCTTTTTGAGGGCCTCAAGGTTGAAGCTTCAATGAGGGGCTGAGCGGCGACAGCCGCCGGGATGGCTAGCTGCTCTCAGCCGCGTCCCCTACGAAGATGGAAGCGAGGAGACAAACGCCCGCTCGGCATCATCGCACACACCCAGCTCCAACTCGTCGTGTCTTCCGCCTCTTGCCTCTTGAGCGGCGCACCCCGCAAGGGTCCCGCATCTCTGATTGGTGACAGTACCCTGACGCTGAAGGGTAAACCCCCCATCGTGATGTGCAAAACCTTGACCCTTGGGCCTCTGGCCAACATGCACCCTACCAGGCCCTGCCACATCCGGCCACTCTGAGGACTCGGAGGACTCTGAGGGGGAGGCATGGTGTCATTGGAGCGCTTCGAGCACCCGAAATCGCTCAGCTTGGCATGGCAGTCCAAGTCGACGAGAACATTGGCGCCTGAAAGAAGTCCCAAGCGGAGCTGGTTGGGAGCTTCGGACCATGACACTTGAGTTGGGATCACAAGTCTACTAGCACCATCTCGGCGTTCAAACCCCTGCACAATTGGCTCCAAAGATCAAGGCTTGTGACTAGCCTGGCCTTTGATGTCACGGTGCACGACAGGGGTCTCCCGGTTGTGCAGATACTGCAGCCTCAAAATGCGGCACAGCCCCCCGCATATGGAAGCACACACCCCGATAAATTCGGCCGTGGGCGTCAGAGGTTCCCAATGGGACCCCCTCTGCTGGGTCCATGTCTTTGAACATGCTGGATTGCGACTCCCATTCTGCCCCCCTCCCAAGCGTGTTAACTTTGTCCGGAAGAAAATCCATCAACCCTGTCGGTCGACATCACCCTGTGTTGAGTTAAGCTTAGTACTGGAATCGATATTTCATGAGCCGGCTGATTCTTCATTGCTCTGCAGTGCAAGCTTAGCACTGAAATCGACCTTTCCGTGAGCAGGATTTTCATTGCTCTGTAGTACAAGCTTAATACAGGAATCGACGTGTCCGTGAGCCGTCTGGATTTTCATTGCTCTGTAGCACAAGCTGCGGCGTTGCTTTTTTTACGAGCCCATGTCTCTGCTTCATCATGAATGCGAATGATGTGACTTCACACTTCCTAGCGAGGCGAGGAATCCCAGGAACCTCCTGCTATGACATGATGACACTCTGCGAATTTAACACACGCCGCCAGAGCCCTACAGTATTGCTTACAGTGGCTTACAGCTAGCTTGCTTTCTGTGATGGGGTGTAAGCTTCTGCTGGACACGCTGCACGAAGGGTAGCTGGCTGACACTCCGTGGGCCTAAGCCCTTGATAAGATCTCGGCCCTTCCAACATCTCCTTTGTGTAGGCCTGGCTTTGCGAGACCATGTGAACCCACTCCAAACTGCCGCAACACGTGAAACACGTGACATGTGACATCATCTGAATGTGGGTCTCAATCTCAATGGGAAACTTTCAGAGGCACATGCTCCAGAGGCGTCACTTCATCCCTTCATTCCATGATGCTTGGCGCTGCTTGCGCTGCTTGCTTAGGCTTCATCCTGGGCTTGTGATATGTTTGCTGCCCCTCCGGCCAACAGCAAGGGCTCTTCGAAGCAGCCGAACCTCAGCTTTCTGCTTCACTAGCAGTCACTAGCATGAATCTGAAAGCTGTATAAGCTGTCAAGCCCACCTTGGAGGCCATTTCAGACCGCCAACCGGCGGCAATGCAATGATCTTTACTTGGGGTCGGAGCTTTGATCAGGTATCTGCAAAACGCAGGTGTCAACAGCACTCATCAATGCCAATGCTACAGACCGCATCACACAGTCTGGGCCATGAACTCCCGTCTTGCTCTTCCAGAGCTCACCGAAAACTGGAGTTGAGTTTCTGGGCTACAGTAGAATGTGGCGAACTCCAATGCGCACTCAGCTTAGAACTGATTCAGCGCTTGCGCCAAAGAGCCACCTGCCACAGCCGCAGCTTACAGACACTTGGACTATACTCCGAGCGGGCCGCTTCGGACAGTGGTGTACGTGCCTGCCATAAACTCTAGGTAGATGAATAGGGAGTCGCCCTCAGATGATCTGATTGTTGGGAGACCGTCCCGTGGCAGACGATCAAGTGTATTTGCTGCTGACGCATGTGGCCAGGCACCAGGCCATGTAGTCATGGCCGAGGTAAGCAACTATTCGCGGATGCTTCAGCTCCTGTGAAAAGCCATGGCAATATTGTTCAACTAGCAATGCGAACCTTCGATGGTGAAGGACGTCGACCCTTGCAACGAAGTTAACCCGCATCCCCTAGAATAATGAAGCACGAGGGCACGAGGCGACAGTTGGCCAGATAGTCCATAGCAGCCCCAGGTTCGGACAACGTCATTCGCTACGCATGAGTCCAAGTCGGTTGATGTTCAAGCAGAGGATTTCTGGTTCCGCGATTCCGTTGGGTCTGGCATGGCAGCGCACCAGTGTTCGATATTCGACCACCCTGAACAAACAAGATCAAGTCAGAACAACCCCTCTCTGCTCTCCTTGACGATTTGAATCTCGTTCTCGAGCTGATCCTTGAATTTCATGTCGGCAGAGTCAGAGGCGTTAATGACCACCTGAGGCATCGCAGCGCTGGCAAGATCTACAATCATGGAAAGCTAATGTGAGTGCGTGTGTGCGCGAGCTCTCTGACGCTTGAAGCTGCCAACAACAAGGCGCATGCGGGTTGGCCTGATAAACAATGGAAAGATTCCAGATGATCCAGCCTCTTTTACAGCGAGGAGCTCGCCGGTTTGCTGGTCCATCGCTTGATACACTGTGCCTGGCACACCATCACCACTCCATCACCACTAGCACTACCACCACCGCCGAGCCAAAACCATGTGCTACAGACACACTCGACACACTGGACGGCTCTGGCCTAAAGAACCACGCCCAATGGACTCTCCACGAATCCACCGTCGGCCGCCTCGGCGAAGATGCATGGCTTAACGTCCTCTGACCGTCCCGGCCTATGCCCTGTCCTCAATGTCCAACCCCTGTCTTGTGCTATATTGTGCAACATGAATTGTCGGATCAGGGTCCCTGCTCGACGGGCCCTTGATCACAGTGAAATGACCAGTTCCTGAGTACCAGCGAGATGACATCTGAAAGAGAGCCCGTTGAAGAGAGAGTTGCTGAGCAGATATCGAGAGTCGCGATTTAATGAATTGCTATTTGTATTGGAAAAATTGGAAAAACTTTTGAACTCAAAAGTGTGGCGCTATCTCTTGGCAGATCAATGGTCCGCAGCTCATTCGCATTGCTTCGAGTCGGTTCGCTGCTGACGAGGCCGGCGACGTTTCCAGGCCAAAATATTAAGCGCAAGACCTTCTCCTTCTTCAACCCCCCTGCGCCACCCCTCTTTTAAGACCTCCAACAAACCCCCACTGCCTCCCCCGCTCCCCCCGCTCCCCGCACCCCCCCCCCCGCCCTCCCACCCCTCTGCCTTCAAGCCCTACCCCGCCGCTACGCCCTCCTTCTTCAACCCCCCGTGCCACCCCCGTTCCCCTCTACCCTGCAAAAGAAATCTTTAAGGGCTCCAACGCATGCCCAAACTTCTGCGAATAATTGTTTACCTTTTATGCTTTTTTATGATTTCGAAAATCCTCGCTTTATTTTATTTATGATTGGAAATATGTGGCGTAATATGATTTTTAAATGATTCAGTGCGTGATGTTTATGATTTTTGTTTGCCTTCTACCTGCTCAGGACCATGCAAACCACACAAACCACACAAAGCAAGACATCAAGTATGGCTGGTTTGGTGGGGGGCGGGGGTTGCGGGGTGGGGGTGGGGTTAGGGGGGGGGTTCAGTCTGAACCCAACACGTGCGGAGCTGTTGGATGTGAGCCGAACTCGCTATAAGTTTCGGTGATTTGGGCCTTGAAATCCCCAATTTGTGGTTTGCCTATAGGCCTGCATCGGTCCTTGAAGCACCTTTTCGCCCGAGGCCTGATCCCAAGGCGCGGTTTCTGGGCTTTGGTCCGTCTTCCAGGAATTCCTCCGCGAAGCAGCAGTTCCCGAAGCCCGGCCCAGGCCAAGGCGGCCCACAGCCATTCTTTTCCAAGCTGCTATAAGCGGCAAACTTTGAGAAGTTAGTTCAGAGGGAAGCAGGATGCGTTCAATGCGTGAAATGCGCTCACTATCCGGGGCAGTGGCGCAGCGTCTCCTTGGCTCAAGAGAGGCTCACAAACGCTCAGAATATGGGCTCCAAATGCGGAAGGGCAAGGACAAAGTCATGCTCACCATGAGTTTGGTGCAACGGCTATGGCCGTGGCAGGTGTCCAATCTCAAAACTTGCCCAATCGCGAAACCCTTCCAAGGTCCAATTCAAGGCAATGAACCTCCATATCGGCCAAGGACTTCTTGCCCGGACACGGACTGAGCTGAGTGACCTTGGATTGCAGCTTACACACATTTGTCCACTCCAAAATGGAAAAAGAAAACAAAGGAACGCACAGACATAGAACTGCTGAAATGCAAGCAAAAACGTCAGTGGATTCAACTAGCCTGCCGTGCCATACCCACTAGCACTGGCAACAAGCTCTCAACCAGCTCTCATGATGCCACGACAGAACCAGGCACACGTGTGAACACGGCCGTACAATGAGTGCACGCACTTAGGTCTCTGAGATGCTCACGCCACGTGTACCGAAAGTGCACTCGAACCTTGGCAGGCACGAGAGTCGCTTGCTAGCTTGAGAGCAGCCCGTCAATCAGATTCCAAACCCCGTCGCCATCGTGTGGTGCAGTGTACCGTCACGCCAAATCCGTATCAAGACTGGCCGAAGCTTGCAGTCTGAACTTCCTGACAAACTGGGACCACAGCGGAGATGGCGCACTCTCACCTCAAGCCAATTAGCAAGCTGACTCGGGATTATAAGGGCATGTGCTACGACACTATAAGGCTGTGTGGTGAGGCTCTGAGCTTGACCAAAACCATCCGCCTTTGGGACTTTGGGACAGGACAGCGGAGGCCGATGCTACCGCCAGTCTCAACTTGTTTGAAAAAAAAAAGGGGTTTTGTATAGTCAGGGCTCACCAAGGCATCGAAGCCTTCCGTGCACGTCGGTTCAAATTCTGAACACGTGTGCAACTACGTGTGCGGGCGTGAAGAATCGTGAAGAATCGTGAAGAATCGTGAAGAAGGTTGAAGAGGCGTTGAAGAACGTTGTACGGAATGTACTGATATGTACTGGGCCTCCAGTGCCCGGCTTCACCTCGGAGCTCGGCCTCGGAGAAGGTAACGAAAGTAACGTCTCAAAAGAACTCTGTGATGAACTTCTAGCGATACGAGCTTCTGTTTATGTGACTAATGAATTCCGAACATATGAACACATGCTGGTGCATGCTCGCTGAACGCTCCGAACCCCATGGTATCCCCCCTCAACACGCCGTGCCACAGCACGGGGGAAAGGAGAAGCAACTGTGAGGCTCAGGGAAAACCACGTTACATTTCATTATGATCCTGAACCCAAATCCCAAAGGGTTGTGATAATTGTCATAAGTCTTTTCGGCTCTCCGACGCTGGTTCCATCCGGCTTGCACTTGGTCGCATGAAGCCGGACTACACTGTGTTCAGGGAACCGTTCCGGATGTACATGTGATCGTCATGCGTTGGAGGTGGCCAAACAGACTCCTTATACGCAAACTCCTCGCGTGTGGGGTGGCCAAAGAAGAGAATGCTGCCATCCACTAGTAAGGAAAACTTTTGAAGTGCATAGCCGACGATGTCCAGATCACTCCCTGGACGGATGTAGCTGCTGCCATCGGGCCTCAGATGGCCGCTGGGATCATGGCCAAGACCCAAAGTAGTGCAAACTTCCACGAAGTTCTTCGCTTCGCAGGACTCCCATGTGAAGCAGGAGGTGGTGGCAGAGAAATTAAATACCTTGGCGCCCTCTAAACCTGCGCCGTCACACTTCAGTCGGGCGCTCCAGTGGGCTGCAGAAGCCAGGAAGGTAGGCTGACAGAATGCCTCGTCATCCGCGGAGCCGCACATGCCTGTGGCATGAGCAGAAAGCTAATGATTTTACAAGCACGAAGACACACTGCAAACTCCTCAATCAAAAACACACGAACTGCACGCGAAATTTCTTATGGAACCTGAAGTGCACGCTTACATTCGCCAAGGGGCTGATGTAAGAGACCGGACGTTTGGCCTCGCACGTCTGTTGAACAGAGTCCCCTGAGATTGGCGCAAAAGCGCGGAATAGATCTGACGCCTGGCAGGCGAGGAAGTTGGTAAACCAACCTCCGTTGCTAAAGCCAATGGCAAAGGCCTTGTTCATGTCGGCACAGGTGTTCAGCTGTGCCCACTTCAGCAAAACCCGCACAAAGTCCAAGTCCTTCTGATTGTCTCGCCAGCCACAGGCAGTGTCATCCTTTTTACGAAGATGCTTTCCTTGCATGCAACACTCGCCTCGGCAATCGTCAGGGCAACAAGCTTCCACACCGCCCATGCCATTGCTGCGGTTTGCATCCATGCCAAAAGGCAGGATGCCTAGCCAGCCATATCTGGTAAGCTTCTTGGAGAGGCCCATCATCATGTTTGAATACCAAGGCGAGTCTGAGAAGCCATGGAAGCCAAGGACCAGCGGGACGCCGCCGTCCCCTGGAGCAAGGTCATCGGGCACTGATAGAAGGAACTGGCGCTGGACCTGCGGCATTTGAACCAAATGCAATCCTGGACCATAGGATGTGCAGGGCTTCTGCTCCTCTTCATGTTTTTCATCGTGCTTCTCATGCTTTTCCGTGTTTTGAAGTTGTGCAAGTTGTCCTCTCTCGTGCATGAGGGCTTCAGTCTCGGGCCGCATAAGGCACCGAGCATGAGGTACGAGAAGCCACAAAAGCCACGAAAGCTGCCGAAGCCACGGTCGGAAGGCTGGTGCCATTGGGGTGCTCGGCAGCCAAGCCTAATATGAACGGTTCGATACAGAGTTTCAGCCGATGATGGCTATGGCTATGGCATCCGGAAAGAAAGATACAAGGATGATAAAAGGGCCTTACAAGGGCATGCTGCGGGCCATGGCGCTTCTCAACGACCACCGAGCCTCGGACACTTGCAGAGGAGGGGCAGCGGCCTGAAGCACTCGTTACTCGGTCACTGATGTGGACATGTTCTCAAATGTTTCAAAATGTTCTCCAAAAGCGCATCCTTCTCAGAGGATTCAGCCTCGACATCGAGGCTAGCTGCAGGCTTGCTCGGCTGCCTCGCGACGAACATGTCACAGATGTTCACAGATACTGTCGGCTTTCCAAATGCACTGCAGCTTTGCACGCAAGTCAGAAGTAGTACGAGCACGGTGCAGCACGGTGATACGGTGGTTGATTTTGAAACGCATTCGTTTGCAGACGGTCTCAACTTCACCACCACAATACACGGCCTTAGTCCTTAGTTGCTCCCTTTGGGAGATTGGGACGGTCTGGGCGACTGGGATCAACAAAAGCTTGTCAAGCACAAGCTTTCGGCTGGGTGACAGCCTACTACACCACATTACACTATACTAAGGTACTTCAAAACTGATGCGGTCCTAGCTATCCTAGCGAAGGGCACTTGCCAATGGCACGAGGGCAAATCTAAATCCTGCGTGCAATGTTCGCTTCTTCCGGACAGCCGATGCTGCAGGACATGGTGCTCTCTGGCAAGCCTATGTCGCGCGCAAACAGCCTCCCTCGAAAGGCAAAGGCCGCAAGACAGTGTGCGAGCAATGGGAAGAAGCCCTCATGCCCCCTCTGCGGACTCCAAGAAGCTAATCTCCTTTGTGAGCTGATCACGGAGTGCCATCTTCTGTTCCATAGCCGGGGTCCTTCCTGTCCAGATGCCCGTGGTCACCTGAAGAGAGGGACTTGTGATGACCGATGACTGGTGATGTCATGCCCTTCAGGCTTCCTTCTGGACAGTGCAACCCCGGTCCTGTCGGTAGAAAATGCCTGAGGCGACGAAGGTTGCCTGCTGGGACACAGTCAGAGATGCCTGAAGCTCCTGCACTGCGGATTTCAGCTCAAAGTTACAACCTTCAACTGCCGTGAGAAATCCAGTTCCAGTACATTCGCCCTTCTCCTCGAGGCGGCGATCGCCTTCCTCCTGAGTGCCGGCGATCCGCAGCTCGCTCCGTCGCTCCGCGATCTGCTCCTTGTACCGAGTGACCTCAGAGAAGCTCCGTTTCTCTCTCTCTCTCTCTCTCGCCTCTCTGCGGGGACTCCACGGTCCGCAGGAAAGCACAGCCAAAAGAGGCACAAAATCTGACGTGGAAGCACACGAGAGGGGGGCTTCTTTGAAATGAGTATGAACTGAGATGAAAAATGAGAGAGAAGGCTGAGAGGGCTGAGAGCCTGAATGAACAGAAAAACGAGTGCTATCGTTGAGGGCTTGCAGGTGCTAGGGTTTAGGCACTTCAGGAATGGGTTTAGAGCGTCTCAGCGTTTGGGGCTTAGGGCTTTGAAGTGGTCGGCCTTGGAGCTCCAGGGCTCCCGAATTTCAATTCTTCGGGTTTGGGGTTTGGGGATTCTTTTCCCTGGGTTTTGCGTATGTTGTTTACTTCAGGTTGGGTTTGGTGTAGTCAGCATGGAGAACAACAAGCGCTCGATGCTGAGCAATTCGGGCAGAGCCGAGCAGCCTGCCGCTTCGCTTCCTCGAATTTCGCCTTGTTATCCAAGAAGCCCTGGATGGTTGGGGCCGCAAAGCCAGCGGTATTTACGTGTTCATCCTGGCCCTCAGCCGTCATTCTCTCTACATCCTCGGCGACAGCTTGAAGCTCCTTGCGAAGGTCCGCTACAGCCCTGGACACGTTGACACCTGCCCCGGTCTTGCTGGAGCTCTTGGAGGGCCGCGAGCGCATGTTACTACTTCCTGCGGCGTCTTTACACACAGTGCCGAATCGCATTGTTGACTGAGTCTCCGAGTCGTTGGTCTTCTCGGCACGAAGGGCCAAAATCACAGTGACATGTGCTGCACCGCCGGTGAGTGGATCTTTCAAGAGTTGGGTCAAAGCAGAATCACGGAAGGAGACGTACTTGTCCCGCCGGGCCAGTGCCGCAATGACGCGGCCAAGGGCGCTCAGGGAGAGGTTCACTGCACGTGCCTCGTCAAAGCGAGTTCCTGGGATGTCCACAGTAACCCGTCCAGGCAAGTTGAAAGCTTTGGCACCGCCGGTGGCATCTGCATTGACTCCAGACTTGCCCACTCGCTCTGAGCCCGCCAGGTCTACGAAGACAAGGCGGCCCTGGCACAACCTCCCGCTCACGTCGATCAACCGGAGCGTCAAGGTGATCATGCAATGCGACCGGCTTGACCGATGGTTCAAGGCATGTGACTGGGCAGATCGGGTGGCCTCAACGAGGCGTGCTACGTGGACGACGTCCATGGCAGATTCCACAACTACTTCTTTGGCTGTTGCTGAGATTCCTGGCAGAGTCTTTTCGCCAAGCCACTTTCCAGGTGGGCGCCACTTCCCCTCAGCATCGTACCTCGTCACGCTATTGTCTTCCCGCACTGAGCTGGCACGCACAGATGCTCCCGGAACTGCAACATGCTGGCGGTCGTTCAGGAGATCGAACATTCGCTCCAGATAAACCTCCACGGCTGATATTTTAAGCTGCGCTCTTTTCATGAGCCCCTTGTTTCCCAGGTCTGTCAGCGTTGCCACTGCTGCATACGGGAAAAAGCCCCAGGTTTGGGGATACCCCCCACTCTGGTTGTAGTCATGCTCGGTGAGCACACCTGGTGGTCCAAAAATCGTATGAGTTTTCCCACTGCCAGTCTGGCCATATGCCAGAAACACAGCGCTGAACCCAGGCTCGAGCCAGAACCTGTCCAGTTGAGGCTCTAAAATCGAATGAAGCACCTCCTGCTGGCTTGCGTCGGGTCCAAACACGATGTCTGCGGCAGCCTTGGACTGCACATCCTCCAAACTCCAATCGTCGGATTCAGCCTCACCCACGGCGCATGGCCGCCGCCTCACACAAATCTTCATCCGAGGCGGTCCTTTAAACTTGGGCAGGCATGGGTAGGCGTCGCCTAAGGCGTCTGACGCCTGTGATGTTTTCTGGGAAGCCAAACTCTGCGGAAGCCATGTAAACGCTTCTCTTCTTAGCATTGTCCTTCTGGACTGAGCACATTTAGCTAGCCGTGAGGACCCTTGAGAGGACTCCACACTCCAAAATGCCTATCCGCCCGCGAATCTACGAATGTGATATTGCAGATGAGCGATTTGCGGGTGCCACGCGTAGTACCCCGTGTCATCCCGTGTCTATTTTGCTTGCGAAGTCGGCTGAACAGCTCTAGCCCAAAGCAGGCATGTACCTTGCTCCAGGCTGAGGTCACAGCATGTCACAGCGCTTCCCCAAATAGACCCTGCTACCTCAAATGTGTGCACAAGCCATCCGTCACGGATATTCATGAATTTCAACCACTGCTAGCCAAGCTTTCGCGCCCCAAATTCTGAAGATATGAGTATGCCCCGACCATCAGAGGGCTGTGATTGAAACTCTGGTAGGTCGGGGACCCGCGCACCCCACTCCCTCTCACACGCATGTCGCGCCCCACTGCTTCGCATTTTGTATGCCGCGGGCCTGTCTCGACTTGTCGCAGAGGGGCCTTGTCGCTCTCTTGCTTTGTTACAAACTTATGTCGCAAAGGGAACCCGTGCCCGTCACATGCCCTGAACTTTTGAGCCGCAGCCATGTCCAGCATGTTGAGCGCGGGTCTGCTTCACGTTCGTGTCCGCACGCCAGGCGCCATGTTGTTTTTTCTGTGCTTCGGCTGTGTTTTTCAGTGATTCTGGGGTTGGGGGGACCTCTTCTGTTGCAGCATGTCTGCACCCAAACCCTGACCTGAACCCCTAGTAAACCCCGAATAACACTCCGGGGTCATCAGCGCGTTAGGACGAAGGATTCGGGGTTAGGGGATCAGGTCTTCAGGCCGCTGTCCCCAAAGCCCTGGCACCCCGAAACCTGAAACCTAGAGCCCATGAAACTCAGACCCTCAAGCCAGAAACCATCACGACAATGTCGCGTAAAGGTACCTATCTGAATAGTTTTGAGTTTTGGTAAATACATAAAGCTGCATTGATCCTGAGATCGCCCAAAATCGCCCAAACATCCCGGGAAATAAGCTGTTTCAGATCCTGGAAAGTAACACGGCGCCTCATGCGCAAGACCCAGTTCTAGTTCATCCAGACTGTGCAGGAGCAGGTTAACAGAGCAAAATCTGGTTGGAGACTGCAGACGGCTCCTTAAGCCAGCCCCAATCCCCTACTGCAACCCGGATGTTTTCAGCCTCCCAGCTTCGTCGCTCCGCTGTGGGGGACCTCATGCCACACGCACAAATGCACCAGAAGCGAAAAGGACACAAAACAGCCAACGTCGACATTTGAGACCTCAATGGATCTCAGCAATGTGCACTTGATTGCACTTGCAAGCAGCTCGATGCCTATCATCCTAAATCATAAGTCCTATTGGCGCAAAGTTCGCAAGGTGATGCGCCAGCAGCAAGTTAGCGGCAAGTTGCCTGAAGTCCCCACAGAAAGGGGCGGCAGATTTGCAGGGCGGAGCGGCTCCATGGCCAAAAGCCAAGAACAGATGTGAAATGGTCTGCTCATGAGACAGTTGTGGTGCTTGAGTTTGTTCGGAGTCATTGGGATGCTGCAGGGACGGAGCCACATACACCACTGCAACAGTTCAGCAATGCTCAGCAGCTGTAGTTTGGAATCGTTCGAAGACTTAGTCGCGCATGTTGTGCGAACTGTCAGCTGAGAAGCTTTGCGAAACCTTCTTGTGGAACTCGTTTGGCAGTATCCGTCATGTCTCTTCGTAGATTGAGCATAAGGTAGGGATAGGTAGGGCTTAGAGGCTGCAGGCCAGCAGCAAGCGTGCAAGGTGCTCTCCTTTTAAGTAGCCGTGTTCAAAGTGTGCCATTTATGATCTCTTGTGATCATGTGTTAGTGCATTTTGACTTGGAACTGCTTGCCACCGGATCGACTTTGGGCGCGAGCCAAGCGCTCGGCGCCTCTGTGAAACTCTTCTTGTTGTTCTTTTTGTGAATCCAGCTCTGCTTCGTGAAGTGCAAGCCTGCACAAAGATATCCACCACATGCTGCATGCATTTTTTGCAAAACCTAGCATATCCTACTCCCCAGCTGCAGCGCTGGACACTTGATCGAGATTGTCAAACAATGGTTCGCCGGGCCTACGGACGAGCAGCAGAAGCACTCGTTGGACTCTTCGGCCGCCGTCCGTTGCCAGATTCAGTCCATATGTCCAGGGTTGTACACGCTCACGCAGCTAGTTTTTGAGTTGATCGCTTCACGGGTCCGGTGGACAAATCTGGCCTGAGATAGGCCTGAGGCTATGTACAAGAACTTCAAGGACCAAGCTAAATCAATGAATCAAAGAGCAAAGCAAGGGTCGCGGTCGGCATTCCCCACTCAGGCCCCCTCCATTGTAAACCTTGGCTGTTCCGTGTAGACAACGTTCAGATGTCCGTGACAGGGAAGGGTTGAATACAGCAGTCACATATCCATGCCTTTGTTTTGCCACCATAGCTTTTCTCAGTCGGGCCAAGATGCTCATGAGCGCCGTCCTCACCCTCAACGGCCTCGGGTCCTGTCGTTGGCGTGGCATCCTGAGGCGGAGCACACCGTGCTATTGCTGATCTTACAGTCTTGATGTGCTTCTTGCATGCAAAGCAGCTAAGCTGGTGAGGCGAAGCGACTCCACCAGCGGGCCTTAGTTCAACATAGTTCAACCATGTCAAGCCTGGCTTGGCCTGTGGCCTGTGACCATCGCATGCGGCGCCATGCGGCAGCTGAGAGCTGAGAGCCGCTCTCAGCGCATTCTCATCCCGGATCCTCTGGTGGTGCTCCAGCCTTCGGGATGATGCCAACAGAAGCGAGAAACGACTGTGGCGTGGCATTGCTGCAGATGCTGCAGGTGCAGCTAGACGCTAGCGTGGTAGATCACTCACCTGGTGGGTGCGGCGCCAGCCAGGCCCCCAGAGAGCCGCCACGAGCCTGGTCGAGGGATGCCGAAGGGCTGCGCCGTGCTGTGCCACTCCAGGCAGCTTACTTTGCACATCTTTGCACCCTTTCGATTCCCGCATGTGGATGCATGTCGACCGTCTGACATGCCATCTGCATACTCGGACATGTTCAGAAGCGGCAGCCTTGCCGACTCAGCGGCGGCGTGTTGGGTGGCCTGCACAATGTCACAGGACGTCTCAGACTAGTGTACCACCCATGGTCTCCGCGACACCCACGAACTCTCAGCACCACACAAACCATATCAAATCATGCAAGTCCTATCTTGGACGCCTGCAAGCAATTACCATCGAACCACTGCAGGTGCCAAGAGCCCAGCGAATTGTTCCGGGACGCGATGGCCGAAGCTGTCGGCCTGAGGAACTTCTTTTGTCCCGAAGCCATACCATGAATCGACTGTACATCAACTTCAGACACGGCGTTGGCGCAGCAAAAAGGAGGCTTACCCTCTGCAGACGCTTTAGAACCGTCTGAGGAACTACAATGCTCTAAAGATGTACCAAGGGAGATTCAGATTGGTTGCTTCGGCCAAAGAGATGGCAAGAACGACTTGGCCGTTGACGAGTGTGCAGCCCGTTGTTCGAGGAAGGTGTCATGGTGCAAGTTCGTCTCATCCAACCTCTTGCGCAGCACATGCCGCGCTGCCAGCATCTTCCGCGTGAAAGTGTGAAAGTACACCAGTAAAATGCTCTCCACTGGCTCGGGCCCCCACCAAGGCGTTCGCCAGGGCATGAGGCTTTTGCGGGTCAGGACCTGACTAGAGGGGGCTGCTCGGTAGATGATTCAACAGGCAGGGGCCCTCAAGGGTCCCTTATTCACACAATTCCACGCCAAAAGACCGCAACAACTTCTCCTCCTTTCAAGCAGCCGTCGCGGGCTGTGGGGAGTTTCGGCGCTTCGGGTGGTCGCGAAAAGCGCTTGTAGGCACACCGATGGCCCACTCAGAAAATATGTCCCATGTTTCATTTTTTCTGGTCAGGTAGCTCCAACTTGACTGTGGCGCACGAGCACAGTGGATCAAACCGTACATGGCAGAAAGCCTTCACTGTTGGTGGCCCCGTAGCGGAATGTAAACAAACACACAACACTGCTCCAACCACGTAGGCAGAAGAGACTATTACGCTGGGAATCGGGCTCCAATTGGCCGGTGTCCTGCCAGCGAATGCTTCAAGATGGTGATGTCTGCACATGCATGTATCATCTGTGTGAACACTCGCAAGTCTCATGGACCCGTCACACACCGGCCCCACGACTTTAAGCATAGCGGCATAGCGGGAAGCGACAAAAAGCGAATGACCAAAGTTGCCTTGGCAGAGCAAGGATTGGAAAGGTCACCAGCCAACTACGTCAGTCCGCTGTCGACAACCACGACGTGACGGAGACCACATCGTGCAAACCTTCAGTGAGCAGATTGAGGCTGACGGTAGCTCTCTGTAGCTGTCTTGTGCTGTCTTGAGGTTCTGCGCTGAAATTTTGCATGAGCACCGCTCTTCACAGAAACCATTGCTAGGCCGCTAGGGAAAGTTCATGAAGATGAGCTCCTGGCAGCATGTGGGCATGAACGATGGGAGTGGATGCCTGAAGCACCTGCAGCTGCACTTGCTGCCAACAGTACGACATTCAGTCTGGGAAGGCCAGACAGTCTCAGACAGTTCCAGAGTGCCAACTCTGGTTGCACCATTGGCTGCCTCACCTTTTTCCAACAACACCGAACAGACTGCACACCTACTTGGCTCCAGCCCATGTCAGGCGGTGGTGAAGGATCTGCACTGCTCGTCCCAGAAAGATTAGAGCTATGATGAGTGGTGGCTATGCTTGACCGAAACATAGTATTTACGCCACCGTGGAGTCGTCACCACCATTCAGCTTGGTCGAATATACCCAGAACAGAATACCCTTTCAAAAAGTCAGTTGCGGCATCTTGCATTCGATTGCTGAGGATGGTAGGCCCACAGAAGCTGCTCGGGTGGCCGGGCGAATCCCGGCGCTGATCAGTCAGATGCGTCTCCATTTGCAGGGCCATGCTCTGAGAACCCTCCCTGCCGTCCACGTCATTCCACGGCATGTGCATCTAGTCATCTAGATGTCTTTGAATCGGGAAGTCCGTCATCTGCGCAGACGAGGTGAAGCGTGAACAGCTAGCGAACGAGTAGTGAAAAACTAGCCCGCGAACTTGCTCAAAACATGCGCAACGTCATCATGCTCTGCGCGCAAGAACCGTTGGTCCATTGGTTCTCAAGTCCTCTTGATTCCATGTCGGTTGGTTGCGATTGAAGTGCTTGGAGTTGGACCCCAACAAAAAATCGCTACGAATCCATTCTGGAATCTTTCTCGGCTCCAGGCAAACGGTGCCGAGTCCATAACGTCTTCGACGCCTGCGTGAAAGATGAGCCGAAACAGTGAAAGACAAGGACAGCTGCTGAGAAACTTGCTCATGTGCAACTAGCAAGTGTCACTGGCCTAAAGCCTCTTCGTTAGAGTCGCTTAAACAGGGGCACCCCACCAAACGTTCAGAAATCTTTTCACACGATGGCAAAGTGTGCTTGCCCACCAACTCCTTTGGGAGCCACCTAGCCCTTCTTCCTTTCAGGGGTCTTGGGCTTGAAAAACTTTTTCATGTTTTAGGGGTGGCTTTAGGGTTTGGATTCTTTTGCAGGGTATGGCAAAATCGAGGTAAACAACAAAATGGCAAAGGCGAGGCACGCACATTTAGAACTTGACAATGAAAGTCCAGAAATCCCTCTTGCAATTACCTTAAGGCCGCATGTTTCCCAGCTAGCCTCCTTTGCGGTCCCGCAAAGATGGCACTGCCCCAAGCTTGCCCACCCTCTTTTCAGGTCTTTGGGGCTTTGGGCATTTACGCTTCAAGAACCTGGAGGTTTTAAGGCTAAAGGTTTGAGGGTTCAAACTCCCATACAAACCGCTTTTCCTTTGTCGGTTGCACAATCACCACGAATGAGAACGCCTGCGGGCCGGTGCCTGATGTTCTGGAAACTGAGACAAAGATAACAAAAACTGAAACAGCGCAATGAGAAAGCACGCTGCGAGCTCGAAAGAAGGATTGCGATTTGGGAAGTCCGAAGCTGCAGGCCTAGGACCATATTCGAAGGAGGCAGTGCCAAGGGCAGCGAGAAGTCTCGGATGCCGCTGCCTGTCATTTGGAAACAGCAAAGCGACTGCAGAGGGCCTCAACAATGACTCAACAATCCCCCACTCCTCCCGCCTCTTCGCAAAGTTTGCCGTGACATGTTCAACAGCATATTGTCAAGATTTGTCAAGTGTCAGAACTGCGATGGCTGATTTTTGCCTTGTTTGTCTGGCTGTGCGGGGGCAGCCCTGCTCTTGCAGCCCTGTCGGTTTTGAGGTCAAGCTGTGAGATGCATGATTCATTATGATTCTGCGTGATGATGCATGCCGCTCGTCAAAGCAAAAGCCTGACCTTTAAATCGTTGGAACGACAGAGGGGGGGGGGGGGGGATGGACAGACGACCAGGGTTTTCGAGAGACGAACACGAAGCGCCTCACGGCGCGCAGAATGCCGTAACCAGTGAGTTGACTTCGCGTATCCAAGACAGCAGCTCCGCGCCTACACAAAGGTAAGCCGCGCCGAGAACAAGCGGGGGGGGGGGGCGAGCGACCCGAAAGCCGAGAAGAGAGAAGACCTAGATTTCGTTACAGTGTTCGTGACAATCAGCACCTTGGTGGCAGCAGGTTTCCAGCACACAAGAGCACATAGATACAGCTGCACAGCTCTGCCGAGTTCAATCGAAGCCTCGCCTGTTCGGGGCTGAGACGGCTGAGGGCTCTCAAGCGTCACCTTGGCAGAAGCATGCAGAAGCGCTGTGCTGACACACAGCGACGTGCGAACTTTTGACTCTTCGGAAGTCTCTTGGGGGTCAGACTCTCTGGCTCTGCTGGGCGAGCAGGCCCAGAAGAGCCTCTAGGGATGCCGCAGACATGGATGCGCTCTCTCTCTCTCTCTCTCTCTTCATCTCTCTCATCTCTCTCTCTCTCTCTCTCTCTCTCTCTCTCTCTCTCTCTTTAAAGAGAAAGGGTGAAGGAGAAGTCTACGGGGAGACAGCCTCTCTGTCCTCTCAGGAAAACTGGAGTCCCCGCCTCGCGTGTCACGAGGCCGCAGAGCTGCCCGGCCGGGCCCACCACCGGAAAGCCGTTCACCAAGGTCCTCTGCTCTCTGAAAAACTCTCACGTGCATGTCTTAAGGCGGGCAAGTGTGCAATATTGTGCAATGCATAACGTTGAACAGGTGGGGGCACGTCCCATCGCCCGGAAGTCGTCTCTGCACCCTGACATGGGCTTGTTTCGGGTTGCCATGGGTTGCTATGGGTTGCTGCCTTCCGACTTCGAGTGGTGGCTGCATGCGCATGCACAGGACCACTGAAACAGATTTGAAGAGTGATCTTGTCACCCGTAAGCCTTAACTTGTGAACGCGTGTGACAACACGATACAACACACGTAAGGCCAGGACACTTCGGTGATCTCATTCTCCGTTGCTGTCCTGAACAGGTGGTGAGGTTTGCTGTTGTGCCATACAAACGGGATACGAGTGCAAGGGTGTGCTTTTCCAGAGCTGCGCCTGTCTCTCGAGGCATTCGTTAGTGAGCTGCGGTTCACTTCTACTTCAACTGACGAAAGCAACTGCTTACAAACCAGGACCCAGAGTACTCAAGATGAAACCCCCCCAACCCCTAACACCTTTCAGAAAGAACGCAGTCATAGTCTATTCATAGTACATAGTAGCAGGCATTAAAATGCAAGCCGGCTGGCCTCGATATCGAGATGATCTCCGGGAACTCACCTTGGTCGTGACCAGGCCAGAAAAAGCGTGAGTTGGAGCGAGAACCCACGACAATCTGCGATTTCCGAGACTCCGACGCACTTCGGGATTGTCGTCAGCATCGCGAGTGAAGGTCCGGAGCTGCTCGCTGCCGCCAGCACTGGGCCTTTAAATGGAAATCGTGTGCCGGTTGCGTCGAGAATAGAGCCTGGGCGGATACCCTTATTGAGGCTACCGCCACGCATTTGCAACCAGCCGCTGTGTGCCTTGGTCACATCGTCACCGCAGCCCATCTACACCGATCTACTGCATGTATCGCCATTTGCGAGGTCAGGGCGTGCTTCTTCCCAAAGAAGGGCTTCCACTGTGTAGTGACCTGCAAGATTCGCGATGGTCAGCAATTTGTTGGGACTGAGTCAGCTTTTCTTGACTTGTGGTCCTCGAAGCATTTGAGAGATCGTTTCTTAGTCTCTGTCTTGTTATCCGGAGTCTGCAGAAGTCTGGGAACCATCTGTTGTGAGTTGCAACACGACTCACCTTTGGCTTTGGGACCGGTCTCTCACACAGGGGAAAGCTCCTGCAGAGCATTTTTAGAGACCAGAGCAGTCAAAATTTCGCTCCCCATCTCATGTCGTTCACGAGTTGCACAACCTCACTCCGAAGCTCGTCACGGGTTATAGCACGCCTCAGAAGGGCTAAGTAATCCTTATGCCCGCCCCAAGCCCGATAGGAAGAAACGAAGGGTCGATGATGCTCATGTTTGGGGGGGCACAGAAGCCAAGCGAATACCAAGCCCATCCAAGCACGCGCGACACTTCTGGAAAGGTTGTTTTGGGTCACTCCTTCCCAGAAGCATGCGTGGCTTGGAGAAGGAAGAACCCGGCCCGGCAATCACATGCAGGCATCAACTTCCACTCGTGTGCCATCCCTCCTGAAACCTTGATGAGCCCGCAAAGCGCTTATCAGATGCCAGGAACCAAGAAACCTTGAGGCCTAAACAACCCCATCGAAACTCCCCCCTAGTCACGTGGTCACCAGTCGACTCGAAACAAAGATCTTTTGGCAGGGTGCCTTGTCGCCAGTGGGCCGTTTCCGCAAGGAAAGGCAAGGACTGGACGTTCATGAGCTCATGGTAGAGACCTACAGGGGAAATGCTTGGAATTACATGGAGCAGTGGAGAGGAGAGCGGCGACGAGTGGAGATGAGTGGAGGAGTCCAGGCTGACGCCAATTCAGCGATGTGGATATTTGCATGTGGTGGATGCTCTCTTAGATTCACTCAGATCACCGGGGCTCGTACCGTGCGACTTCAGAAGCCTTCATCGCAGCAAAACAATGTTTCCGCCACTGTTGGTCTTTGCGCCGCGGGGTCACTCCATGGATGCCCAGTTTTCAACAAGCAGCGATGTAGTGCTGCGTGCCGCTAAGATGGAGATCAAGATCACCGGGATCATGAATGGCCTTGAAGAACGGCCACAAGGACTCAAGCCATGCTAACGCGAAGCACCGGTGGCAAGAAGCAACACGTGATTTTATTGGCAGCTCAAAAGAGTCTGTACTTAGACAGAATGCGCTGAGCATGCTGAGCAGCAGCACTCAAGAGACACCTCCAAGAGCAGCACCAAGACCTTGGGAAGCACGATGATATCAGTGACATCTGCATTCTGCATATTGCGTGTCCATTCCACTCGCGACGCACCTGGCGGAGGACATGCCTGGCTTTTCCAGCGGTCGACAGGGCTCTGGAGGATTGGCAGCAGCCAAACTTAGGCCAACCAATCACTCCAGGCCGACGTGATCTTGCAGTGTCTCTCTCTTTACATGCTGGGCGGGAGCTGGTGTGAATACTGCATCTTCCCAAGTAGTCCACGCTTCTCATGTTCCCGGTCCTGCCTGACTCCATCGAGTTCAATGCCCCGCACGCCGCTGCGCTATGATGTCCTCTTGGAGATAGAGACATCGACAGGACAAGCACCACGTCCGAGTATCAGGCTGACAAATACCAATCGCGAACCAGCTGAAGGAATTTAAAGACTTCTGTTGCAACTGCCTCTTGGTTTAGGTTCTTGTCTGGATGCCAGGCTAGGCATTGGCCTTTGTAGAACGACTTCCTCTCGGCGGTTGACAGCTGGCGTGTGGTGCAAAGCTCCCTGAACAACACTCCTGCTGCCTCTCTGGCAGAAGGCAACGAGGGCCACGACGTGCCCGCTGGCAGCTGGAGATCACATGGCGCCTGCGGCTGATGCCGCTGATGCGGCTCAGGCTCAGGCTGCTGCGGCTGAGACCTAGGAGCTCTGGGCTCTGGCTCGGGTGCCCGGGTGCTTTGGCTTTGGCCGCTTTGACCCAGGGAGAAGCGCTTCGACGACTTTGTCGTCTGTTTCGGCTGCGACGGCTGCGACTTCGGCCTCGGCTTCCCTGCACTGGCCTCGTCTGCGGGATTCGATGTGTTCGTCTCAGTGGTCTCATACGTCCCGCTTTCCACCCCGACTCCTTCATGCTCGTGCCTTTGGTGCCTCTCCCGCGTCACTCCTTCCACTTGGGCCATCACTGGCTTCACACGAATGTGCCGTTTGTTGCCCGTCGAGAGGTTGATTTGGACCATTCTCGGGAAATTGATCTCGTACGAGAGACCCCAAGCTGCGTAACGAACAAAATCCTGACCCACCATCCAAGCTCGGATGATGTATTGTTCTTCCTCTTCTTCGAAGTCTGCCCAATGGCCGTCCCTGAGTTCCCACTGATACCTTGTTCGAGACCCAGCCCCGGCGACTCCGGTGACTCCAGTGACTCCGGTGACTCCGGTGACTCCGCTGCTGGCACCAGTCGCCGAAACCGTGGCGTTGGCATCCCATCGAAGCTGCTGGGCTCGGCCAGTCTTGCGGTTGGTCTGCCGCATGCTCCGGAAGTCCACATCGTAGGTCGTGTCCTCGCTGGGCCTCGCCCCACGAACGGAATACAGAGCCACCACTTGACCTGAATGGCACGCCTCCGTCAGGGCAAGGTTCACATCCACCGGCAGAGTCTCCCAAAGGCCCGGAGACGCCTCCACCTGCCAGGCACCGCTGGCTACTCTTGGGTGCGGTGAACGAGCTGCGTAGGCTGCAGAGTCCACATTCGGGGCGCTTGCATGCAAACCTTCGTCGTGTGCTGGCATTGGGTCCACCACTGCAAAGGGCTCCGCATCTTCGGTGGGAACACTTCCGCTGTCGAAACCGCCTTCACGGTATTTCTCCAAAGATGCGCCGCAGCCCATTTTTGGGGAACTGCAGACCCTGGTGGCGACCTTGGTTCCTGCTAGGCATTACCCGGCCAAGTTGACCAAGCGGCCTTGCCCTTCGGAGGCCATGTCACACCGCCACAACATGCCACGACCTATGACCGGTCAGGACTCGAGAGAGCGCTTTGTTGGCGCTTGAGCCGCAGCAGGAGCAGTCCAGGCCTGAAGTGGTAATGTTTGAGACTTGTCATGCTGAGGCCGCGGCAAACATGACAAGGGAGCCACTACCACTCAGGAAGGCAGCGCAACCTTGTTGTGCTGCAGAGGCTCAATATGACAGTGCCTCATGTTCTGCCTATTGCTTTTTGAGGGTTCAGCGATTCTGTTTGCTTTGAAAGAGCCACGGGTGGGTGTTGCTGTGCCTTGCCGCCACTCCCTGGTGTCTGTCAGTTTCGATCCGCTTCCGAGGCCACTGCCGGCAAATGCAAGGATGCCTGGCCTTTGCCGCGTTGCACACGACCCCAGCAGCTCGCTGCCACTCTGTGTGAGGTCGACAATGTGAAAGGAGTTTTCGCTCAGATCCGCACTCGACGTCCACCGTTGCGGCATCGGGATAGAAGTGGTCCTGCACCAGACGACACCACATGTGTCACATGTGTGGTGGCATCTTACTCCGTCGAGGCCTCGGGCCGCAGGTGTCTAGGTTGTCAGAACAGGCACGCCCCTCCAAAGAACAAACCCACAGGACCAGGGGGGAGTTGGGTGTTCCGCTGCCCCCCACCGCAAACACACCCCCCACCCCCACCTTTACACTGTACACGTAAAACCTCGGCTTCCTGCCAAAAAGCGTCCAAAACAAGCAGACCCGGATCCGTCTCCTTCCCCCGAACCCAAACCCCTCCCTGTCGGACCCCCCCCGATCGCTTGGGTCCCGCCTGTCTTCCTACACACAGGGCCTTCAGCCCATGCCTTGTGGGACTTCCTGACCCGCCTGAGACCTTGCCTGGGACCAACATGGAACTTCCACCCTTCTGAAAGACCCGCCTGACACCCCCGGAACCCTTCTGGGACCCCCCTGGCTGGGACCTCATTGGACCCGCCCCTCAAACCTTCCTAAAACCTTCGCCTCATCTAGAAGCGTTCGGAACAAGCAGACCCGGATCCGGTTTCCTGCCCCCCGGCTGCCGAGGCGGCACGCGCAAGCGTTTGCAATTCCTCACCCCTCCTCGCAGCCCAGCCTGCGCTTCGTGACTTCCGTAACTGACAGAGAGCACCCTTTATCTGGCCTTTTCTTACCCTGGAGTGGGTAGGTGGGAGCAGACGGTGCCACACCCCACCTTCCCCCCCTTAACGTCGGCCCCTCCTCCGGGAGCTGCATTGGCTGCATTGGGCATGGCCGAGGCGGGTCGGGTGGCGCTAAGACGACATCTCACGGAGCTTGGAAGCGCTGGCCAGGAGCTGCTGCATCTCAGGGATCCATGGAATGGCGAGACGCGGAGACCTAAGGGAAGGTCAAGCAAACTCCTAACAAAAGAATACAAAAGAGCTCTTTTGAAGCTTCAGCCTTGAATGTCTTGAGAATGGGTACCGCACACTCCTGATCCAAGCAGCCAGTGCCTTGGTCACATTGCGGCAGCGAACTATGGCAATGAGCAACGCTATAGCAACACTGTATAGCAACACTGTATAGCAACACTGTATAGCGACACTGTAGCAAGATGATTTATGGCCAGTATCAGGGGAGAGGAAGTCTGACAAGCCCAGACACCAGCACAGGCCATAAAGTCGACCTCACTGCGAAGGCTTGCGGCTTGTGCAAGCCAGGAGCTTTTACAGTGTCCAATCTGCAAATCATTTGTGGGTAAATTCTGGTTGTCAGTTCCCCTGTTCTCGTCGTCTTTGCAAGCAGACTCTGGGTTTCAGACCCGCAGCTGCGCCGATGCACATCATGGGGACAAGAAGGCCTCCAGGCCTGACTGGCCGAGCAGCCAGCAGGACTGAACAGACATCGTCCAACTTCTGATTGGTGAGGGCTCGGGTAACCGGTGTCGCGGGTGAGACTGACACATTGCTCAATTCTGCGATGTTTGAGACAAAAGAAGGTTGGATCAACATGCTCACTTAACTGGGTGTGTGCCTGCAGAACAACGAGGAACAACAACGCTACGAACCAGCCAACGACCAACTGCGCATGACTGCGAATGAGAACTCACTCAACTTACGCCTGCAAACATGGCGCGGCTACAGCAACGCCATGCGCACCCCAACACCTATCTACGACCTGCTGCTAAACTGCTACATGATAATACCGCATGGCCAGCAGCAATCCAGGCATGGCCAAGCCAGGCTTCTCTCACTCCCTCCTCCTCCTCCTCCTCCTCCTCCTCCTACTCCTACTCCTCGTGCTGCTCCCCGCACACGCGGGGGTACCGGGCGACTGTCGTCAATCTGCTTCTTTTCGACTTCTTCGACTTGTTCTTCTTCTTCTTCTTCTTCTTCCTCTTCTTCTTCTTCTTCCTCTTCCTCTTCCTCTTCCTCTTCCTCTTCCTCTTCCTCTTCCTCTTCCTCTTCCTCTTCCTCTTCCTCTTCCTCTTCCTCTTCCTCTTCCTCTTCATGCCTGAATTTTCGGATTCTGCCGCAACTGCCGCAACTGTACTACCTTGGCTGTTTCTCCGCTGTCTGACTCCTCTTCTCCTACCGGTTTTGAGGGGTCTCGGTTTCCTGAGGTCGCCGCATCCAGGCGGTGGCACTACAAGCAGCCAGGACGAAGTAGACTTGGTCCGGGAGGCGAGGATTCAGCACCACCCCTTCCAGAATCGCCAAAGCGTGGGATGGGGCCCCAGCAGATTAAGAAGAAGATCACAGTGGACATAGGGAGGACCAAGGGCCTCAAATCTCAGCGCGTCAGAAGCCAAAAGCCACAAGAAGCGGCAAAAGCGGCTCGATGGCGGCTCGATGGCGGCTCGATGGCGGCTCGATGGCGGCTCGATGGCGGCTCGACGGCTCTCTGGGCTGTGGGCGCACCGCGTACCAGCAGATTCTTCACCACCGCTGTCGGCGCCACAAGGGTTAGAGCTGCCCCAGGGCCTCAGACTTCGGGGACTGTGGAAGATGTGGGAGATTGTGGCAAACAGCACGTGGGGAGCCGGCTGTAGTAGTTCATGAAGATCTTGTTCTCTTCGTTCCAACCTCATGAAGAAGGGAGCCAGCGGAGAGTGGATTTGAGCGGCTATGGGAGCCGGAGGAGAAGGGAGACAGCGCTGTGACATCTCTGCGTGACAGTATGAAAACATTGAACGTCTGGAAGATTACTGGAGTTACTGGAGACATGATTTGAGAGTTCGGCTCGAGCTGTCACACGAACCTGTGGGCCAATCCTTGCCTCGACTTGAAAGCAAGTTGGCACGTGGTCAACGACAGGCATGATGCGACACATGGCGGCAGCATCCCAAGCCAGGCCCACGACCCATGTCCAACGGTGCGCGCGGCCGAGAAGAGTTGTAAAACCTTCGCACCGCTCGCACAGATCGGTGCTCGCACAGGTGCTTTCAACACTGCTCAACGAACCCGGTGTTCTCCGAGGGCAGGGCTTGCCTCTCTGCAAGTCGACGACTTTCTCAAATCCGCAGCAATATGCGTTGGGCCTTGGACATGCCATGGACCCTCAGAGCCTATGGCCGCCTGATGCCTTGATTCTCTGGGATTCTCTGGGGTTCTCTGAGGTTCTCTGAGGTTCTCTGAGGTTCTCTGAGATCTGAGCTGGGTTGTGTGAACAATGTGCTCGATGCCTGAGGGTGGTGTCATGTGGTGTCTGCAAGTATTCATTACTTACGGCAATGTGCCAGACGACTCAGCTTCGGCACCCTTTACGCTGCAGTTCGGATTGATGAGAACAGCACCGGGACCTTCGCAGGCAATTGCCAGCCAGTTGATGTGCACTGACGTGATGCAGAGGTCAAGCTTTCCATCCGAGTTGAGCATCAAGTCGGATAGAAGCCGAATCAGACCGATTTGACAGTGCCATCTTCATTCGGTGCCAACAGGGCCCGCACAGTTGAGCGGATCATATTGGAAGCCGAAAAGGCCCGGATGAGGCACCTGTAGAAATGGCAGTACAAGTGGTCAGTGGTCTCCACAATGTCAAAAGCAATATTGCACTGGTGGGTCGCGGACATAGCTCATGGTTCGGTTGGAACTCTCGTCACGTACCTGTCTCAGCTTCTTGGGGCAAGTCTCCTCAATCCCTCCATGGCCCCCATCTCGATACAATATGTGGCTTCCACAGCAAAATTTCGCCTCCGAGCTGACGTTGCTCGAGCTCACCGTACGGGATCCCGTGACCAGTTGATGGAGCCAGTCCTCTGGGGCCGGATTGTAACGGGCTGGGGGCGGGGCCTCCGTCTATGTTGTCGCAAGGCACAACTCCAAGTGAGCTCAGCCACATGCTAAACTTGACTTGATAAAGCGAGCATGCAGCATCCAATCCCAACTTGCCATCTTGATGGGAGACATTGCGAAGTGCGGCAAGAGTGGTGTCCCAGGCTGTCTTGCGGTCCTCTAGGATGCAGCCACTGCTGCCAAAGAAAGCGTTCTGAAGGCTGGACTCGATGCCTCTGCAAGGCATGGAGGGAAATGAATGGGAGAGAGAAAGAGAGGGAGAGAGCGAGAGAGAGCGAGAGGGAGATCTAAAAGACGACAGAGAGCATGGCTGCGCAGAGAAAGCATTGCTTTTCATGTCTTCCCCATCTTACTTTAAACTCTGACTTCTTTGTGGGCGGTTTGTTGCTAACCCCTGTTGGTCTAGGCCTAGCGCTCCACATGCGGCAGGCGTTTCAGGTCGCAAATTGGGAGACTCACACATGGCCAGTGCCTGGCTACAATTGTGGTGGCTCAGCTTCTGGCATGGTTCAGAGTGCGGCAAGGATATCGCGAAAGCCTGCCACATCGACACTGTCGACACAGTTCGCCGTGTCTCCAAGCAAGCTTAACCGTGCTCAAACTTCTGGTCAAAGTTGCCGAGGGCACTCCACAGCAGGAACCAACCTCGAGGAATGGCCAGGAATGGACATCGCTAAGCATCGCTACTGTTTGGCACTTGCCCGTGTCTCATCCCTGTCACTGGGCTCCGTGGCGAGGAGGGAGAAGATGAGGCGCCGCAGGAACAGCGCTCGACCACGGCCCAGACGCTGAGCCTGGCCACAGCGTTGAAAATTAGACAACGTGAAGAACGTGAAGCAACATTTACGATGGCTGCCGGTAGAGTTGCGCTGGCAGGGTCGGACAAAGAGCGAAGCGATTCGGATTGCCATCTGTGACCACTCCTACGGCCACGTCCAGGCGTAGCCAGTCCATGCCAGTCCATGCCGCAGCGCCTCCTCCGCGAAATAGACGCTGAGTGTGACGACCTTTCAGTGGCTGTCTTTCGGCATGCTCCGGACACAAAGGCTTTGCGCAGATGGCATGCTTACTGTGCTTACTCCAATACTCCAAGACACCAATCGATTGAAGAGGATTGCCAGTAATCCACAGAGCACTCCAACTACCTCAGCAGATGCATGACTGAGGTTGCCCACACTTGGCATAGATTGACACCAACTGGGTTCTGGCTCAACTAGCTAGAAGCCTTAAGCCAATCATCCCTACTGTCCAGCCATAGTTTCAGCACGAAGTATGAAAATTGTACGGGTGCATCGTCTTCTGTCGCTTGCCTGAGCTTCGGACAGCCACATGAACTGGCATCGAGCTGTAGCGGACCCAGGATGCCCATGACGACTTCCGTAAGCAGGCTGTAGCAGGGGATTCCAGATGACTTACAGATGGCTTGGACAGACTTTGTGACATTGTGAGAGTCCTTACACTTCGGTCACTTCCTTGATGTCGCGCCTGCAGTCCGCTCGTAGATCGACCTGGAGAGGGGGCGGGCCGATACTCCCCAACAACAATTATCCACTCTTCCCCTTGAAGGATGCATCTCGACGCAGTGTGCCCAGCGGATCTGAGCAGCTTGCTCTCCAGGCAGCCCCATCAAGTCCGACAGGACGTTCGACGTCAACTCAGCTTTACTGTGCGTGGATGACGTTGGAGCCATGACAAGCTCAAAAAAAGTGATGTGAAACACGTTTTGTTATGAACATGCTTGCGTCCTTGCCCGTGATCCTTCATGCTGTTCTTGCTATGCTTTTCTGAGTTGTAACTTGTTCATGTACCCGCTCCTGTTTCTCCTTTTCATGAGCGTCCTTTTTGCTAGCCACTAAACTCCCGAGGTGAGGGTGCCTGTGCGCCTTGCAGCCATTCCCCTCCTATACTGTTTCTAAGGGGTTTCGCCTTGGCAACACGCCCCTGTTGTGGGCTGGATGATCCCTTCCCATACAGAGAGAGACCCGTCAGAACACCTAATAGCGTAATGATCACAACTCAATTTTTCCTGCCGTGACTATGACGTGACATTTTGATTCTGGCAATACTTCGAGTGCTGCATTTGAAGGTCAATCGATGATGTTCATGGCGGGTCATTCGTAAGCAGAACGGGTGTGAAATGATCAGCTAGTGCGGCCGAAGACACAACTGCAAAAGCGCAGCTGACGAAGGAGTGGAGCAATCTGTCACTCAGCAACTGGTATTTCACAATAAATCTCAAAAAAGGCTCGCAGACTTGAGCAGGTTTGCCTCAGGAGCTGTTGTCGGGGAGAAGTCCCACTCGGTGACAGAAAGGACAACAGGAGATAGCGAGAGGTCGAGAGATGCTCATGTTATGCTCATCATTGGTCATCATTGAAAAACCCGCGCGGAATTTGCACAAAATAGGAACCTGCATGCATCTTCTGAACAAAGGACTACAATGCCGGCGGGGCACACAGAAGCTCCGGCGAGCGCAAAACAGGCCAGGCACTCAGGCGTTTGGAGAAGAAGGAAGCTGCCTCCTCTACGACCTGGACCACGCTCAACAAACCCTGGGAATGAAGGCAATAATATGCAATGATTCAATAAATCAACAAGCTCTGCTCTACGAGGCTTTGCTGATCTCTGCTGCGCGTTCGGAGCCAACTCAACAAGGAAACACGATCCACTGAACGGACAGGGTCCCCGCAAAAACCGTCCCTGCCAAAGGCCTCAGGGCGCATCCATGTGCATGTTTTTGGGCTTTCATCTTGAACATCATACCTTACACCATCTTACAACATCATACAGAAGGACGAAGACGGAGAGGGCAATGATGCCGTTACATGCCATATTACATGCCATATTACATGCCAGAACTCCATAACTCTGCCGCAGCACAGTCACAGAGCACCTGAGCTCAACTGTAGCCTCGCGGGAACTGCTCGAGGCTCGGGCGCGTTGAAAGCCGCAGCGATTCCCGCTCCAGCGCCCATCACGGCGGCCTTAAGTCAAGCTCTCGGTCCTAGCCTTGACACATTTGACATTTGACACTTTTGGCAGGCAAAAAGGCGCCCGCAAGCCTGCACGTGGTAGCGCAGCGGCTGCCTTGAGAGCTCGTCCTCAACGCGCCGAGACAGCGGCCCTGAGAGGGACGGAGATGCAACCGAGAGAGACAAAGAGCGAGAGAGCGAGAGAGCGGGAGAGCGAGAGAGCGGGAGAGTGGGAGGGAAGAGATCTAGCAGGGCTGCCCGTGGTCGGTGTCTGGTGGTCTCAAGTCTCGGGACCATTCAGTTCAAGCGCGCTGAGCCCTCGCTAGGTGCGCCGCCGGCACGGCGCAGTGTGGGTGCCACCAGGCGCCGACAAACCAACATGCCCACAATGGCACCTCCATTATCAAGTGGTCCGCTGGTGTCAGATAGTCAGATAGTCTACTGCGCGCAATCGCCTATGTGGACCATTGGACCCTCTGGTCCCACTGCCAGTCCACCACCAACAGCGAGGACCTCAGGATATGAATCATGGATACGAATCATGCCTACATAGTATAATTCTGCGCAAAAAAAATGACTGTTCGACGATTGCCGTGTCTCCATATGCTTCTAGGCACCACATGCTTCTAGGTAAACTCAGGCTCCGCACAGTCCCCAGCGCTTTGGCCACCAGCACCGGGCCGCGAAGAGACTGGCAAAGAGGGGCATGAAACCCGGGCATGGCCAGGCATTCGATCTGACCAAGCTACCGTAAGGTATCCACGCACATCAGAACTGTTATATGCCCAGGTAGAACAGGCACAGCGCAAGGGTCAATGATGGTCTGAACAGGTCTGAGCAGGCGACGCTTTGCAGGTCGACGCCGTTGAGGAAGGCCAGGACCTGACAAAGCAGCGCGGTGCCAGCCATGTGCGGCTGTCACATGATGCCACCATGCTAATCATGCTATTTCCATTCCACCGTGACTTCTGAGTCCACGCGATTCCCGAGGTCCGCGCCCCTGGAATCCCAGAGCCAGAGCTCTGTGGAACGAGGATGACACAAAGCGTTGCCTGCTAGTTTGAGGTAAACTTCCGGGGGGGGGTGGGGGGGATGAGGGCACTTTTGAGGCCGAACGCCGGCAACATTCTGAATCAAGCCATATGACTGCAACTGTCTTGGTCAAACCGATGCTTCCTTTCACGGACAACGAAATACACCAAGCTTACGCAGTCTTGCTGCAAGACGCCTTGCAGAACGAGCAAGGTAGATTTCCCGTGCCATTGTAGCTGATCCCGTGTCCAAGAATCTCCAGGGCCCATGCTAAAAGAGCAAAGCATGCAGTAGTGCCCATCGCCTCGGTGCATGTCGCAGTTTGCCACGTTCAAAATGGTTTTCCGTTTTATGTACGTTGTTGGAGTGCTTCGTCAGGCTTCAGCCACAACGAGCAGTGCCCAAAATTTGTGAGGAAACCAAAGATGGGTCGTCGACCTGACCATTTGCAATATGGGAAATATGGGAAATATTTGCCTTGGAAGCTGATGAACTATGACAATGACATCTGAGGCACAAGAGCACACACACACACCCATCGACGATGCGACTGAAAGTTAGCGCCTCGAGCAACAGGCTCTCAGCTCTACAGGGCATCATGTGTTCGATTGATCCGCTTGTTTGGACAATTACAGCTTATCGCCTTCATGCTCCCACAGTTGGACATACTTGATCAGTTGCACTGACATGCAGATGTTGTCTGTGTTTCAGCCAGGGCTCGTGCTTGAGCAACTCATCTGGGATAGCTGCATAGGTGTCCCAGGTGCGCGTGCTTCCAAAACACACACGCGGGTCCGGCTGTCTGACATTAGAAGCGGAGGAAAAGGTGGCTTCTGTGTTAGACGCCGAAATGTCCGATTCCCAGAGTCTCAGCCTGGACTTTCCGATCACAGGGGCCGTGGCTGGGTCACCTATGTCGTCCTTCACTGTACCATCAACGCAGGAAAGCGCAAGGAGTCCTTCGCACGACCCATTCGGCTTCGGCCACTGGCCAGAGGCTGCTTCAGGCCGTGCCCAGCTCTTGAGGACAGCCGCAAGAGGCCTCTCGCCACGTGTCGGCCCAGTGCCTAAATCAACGGATCGATTATATGGTAAGAGTACATGCCGGCTTCCATTGCAACAACTTGACCTTGCTTTTGTCTGCCGTCACGCCCGCGTTCTTCCAGGCCGAGACGCGACTGCAGGTATCTCAAAGTTATCTCAGGCAACGGCAATGAAGAGCACTCCGGCGAACTCCAAATCCCATGATCGCTTGCCTGCGCTTAGTGATATCCGCCACACCACTTACATCTTCATGTGCCAGAGGTATCTTTCCAGGCCTATCAAGAGCTCGAGGAAGGCCTCCCGCCGTCGACCTGGCCAGCAGAAGTGACATGTTTCAACATCATAGGTCGTCCCAAGTCATCCCCGGCCGCACGACTGGGCTCCCCACCGCCCAGCAGCTCGCAGCCGTATCGAACCAGCACAGCTGCAATACCCACACTGATCCCGACCAGCACCTCCGAGAATGGGTTCAAAATTAGCTGGGGAATGCTTGTTGCTGGCTGAAAAGATTCTTGTCGTCCACAACCTTTCGAGATGTTCGTCGATCCAGATGCTGCAACATGGCGATGCGAGATATACGAATGACAGCTATCACGCCCGGCAATTCCAGACACAGAATTGTGCCATGTTTTTCTCAACCTTGCAGCCACAATAGCCACACACTTGGGCCCCGGTTCACAAAAAGGCCTTGCAGAGTGTTGATGCAGTCTTACTCGACCTCTAGACTCTAGCTGGGTTTGGCCCTGTTATCGCGGCATGATAGCGCGGCGGTTCGGACCCAAGCAGACTGTATTTCTTTGTTCTCCTCCGCTTCTTGTTCTTGTTAGGCAAGGACGCCTTGACTGTGCAAATCTAAACCAGACAAAAACAGAAACAAACCCATAAATGAGAATCCCGAAGTGAATGACAGTCACGACAAACCGACGTGGCAGAAGACGAGTCTTTCAGCCAAGTGGCATTCAGGAACTGCCGGAGTCTCCTAAGCACTCCAACTCAAATGGTGCTCCCGTGCACACAAACAATGTGGACCCAAACGACTGCCATAGCACTTCTTCCTAATTGTCCTTGACATGCCGCACTTTTTGACATAGTCGAGTCTCTTCGCCAGCTGCTCCTCGCGTCGGCCCGTCTCCAGGCCTCCCAAAAACAGAAAGGACCCCACTACCAGGGTCGCTTCTGCCATGGCCACATGTGGCACCGAATGCACGACTTTGTGAAGGATGCATTGAAGGGTACTGCAACAATTTCACACCGCGGTAGGGTACTGCCGGGCACTGTGGAGGCGCAGAGCCGACCGGGGCACCCACACTTTGACCTGGTCTCGGCTAGATGCCGCTCCTGCCCATAAGATAGGTCGGCACAGATATGCACAGTGCATGTTCACTCAGCCGGCGCCCGAGTTCTTAACTCTCTCAACACGTCCTTGTGGTCGAAGGGCGCGTGGAGCTGAAGAGAGTCCACCTGTAACATCCAAGCACATCCAAGCCATCCACAAGCGGAAGCATTGCAACGTCTTGGCACTTTATGCCAACAGTTCCAGGCTACCACAAGACTGCCCTTGCCCTGTCACATGTACCTTCCGGAATGACTCATAACCTCAGGTGGATGGCTTGATACCACAACAAGCCACCGACTATCGGCACGTGTGGGCAACTGACGACCCCCTGAGCTTCCGGCTCAGCGGTCCCAGACGATGTTTGTGGCGGGCCTCACAAGCGCAAGTTGTTCATGCGTTTTCATTGTTCAAGTCCGTTGAAGCTGAATGTCACCTCCTCTTGTATTCTCACTACATGAACCCTACACGCACCACCAGCCTGACGTGCTTGTGGAGTGTTGCCGTTTTCGCTCATGGCTGCAACGCTTGTCCGAACATGAACTGGTCGCACATGACATAACTAGCTGCACACTCAACTAAGTCATGTCGATGGCGCCTGGAGACGATATGCCAACACGAGCCGCCCACCACATCAAGACTACAGATAACAACAACCCCACCACCAAACAAAACCACACATTCCATAATTCTCTTCATGACATCATGCCTGCGATCCGGGTCTCGGTCTGATAGGGGGGAGCCGACACGATGTGAACAGTACTATCCGCACTTTCTCACGCTGTCTCAGGTCGGACAATCTCATCTCTCAACATTTTGAAGAAAAGCAACGCACACCCCCTCCCCGACTGGCACTCTGCGGGATGGATGCTGCAGGGAAACAGCTGCCATGTTGAATCGCGTCAAGTGGGCTGTTGTCGGCGAACGCACCTTCGCTCGAACCCCCTCCGCGCCACGTCACATCGCACGTGCCCCCGATCCGATTCTTTTTCGGCGATTTTTCGCGGTAAAAGATCGGAGAAAAATCTGGAGAAATCGAACACGAGCAGACGGCAATTGAAAAATCGAAAAAACCAAAATAAAATCAAAAGACATGGCAGAGCCGGTTTTGTATTCGATTTTTGGTTCGATTTTTTCGACAAGGTTATTTTGTTTGATTGTTGGTTCGATTTTGTCTTCGACGACGGTTTTTTGTTTGATTTTTTTGCTTTTATTTCGACAAACTGATTTGGGAGGGTCCCTGTCTTATTAGATTTGGTAATTCATAAGCCTAGACGACCCTAAGCCGAGATGTGAGCCTTCCAGAAGCACTACCAATTCAACACGATTTCTACGCGGCTTCCAACTCGATGCGGATTTCGGTACAGTCTGCCAAACAGAGGCTTCCAAATCTCTCGACCAGTGGGTCGTGTGCTGGGGATGGAAATCATGCATTTTCCCTCGGGGAGGACTACAAAAAAGGCGTCCGGACTGGGATCGTGGTGCTGGGGAGGGGAATCGTACGCAAATCGTACACAAACCCGAATCGGAACCTGTATTTTTCCTTGGGGAGAACACAAACAGAAGCTTCCGGACACCTCGGCCTGGGGATATAGAACCTGTTGCCTATGTCCTCAAGGAGGAAGGCGTACACCATGGTGGAAAGCTATCTCGCGGCATACAAAACTTTTGCTGGAAAAGCTGAGCAAGCACAACAGCCAAAATGACCGCAAACCCGAGAGTTTGGAAAACATGAGCGAAAGAGTACGCCTAACACAGCCATGGGCTTCCGGAGATAGGCGCAATCAACGTTGCACGCTCAACCTTCTCAGCGTGTCGCTTTGCGCAGGTCGTGCTTGTCTTGGGCCTCCTCCTTCAGTGATATAGTTCTTGTTTGATTGCAACATATATGTTGCAATCAAGCAAGCGCAAGAACTGCATGCGTCCAAAGCTTGAAACTCGCCGAGACCTATAGCAAAAACGAAACATTCTGACTTGCCCGACGCTGGCAGATGTAGACGTGTGACACGGTGTGACACAAGCTTTGTTAGCCTGCGTTGCTGGGTTGCCCCTGGGCCGAGTTGCGCTTTCCCCGCCGGTGTCCAGTCCAATTCGCGTTGCTGAATGGCCGCTCTACCCTGGTGATGCTGTTGGGGGACAGGAAAACAAAACGTAGAACTACCCTATGTGTCAAGAGTGAGCCACGCGAGGAAAGCGGTTCAAAGCGCAGCCGCCTATCCTCGCGACACTTGGCTCAAGCTTGCTTGCCGCCGCCGCTTGGACCGAAGGGCAAAGTCAGGGAAAGGATGCAGGTGCATCTTGGGTGGTAATCTTGGATGTATTTGGTTTTGGAAACCCAATGATTTGTGTACCAATGCACGTTTTGCAGTCTTGCGTGAAGCCCTTTGGTAAGGGGCTGCTTTGGGGGCAGGCCTGGGCTCCATCTAAAAAAGCAGCAGTGGTCACAGGCCTCTGGTGGGTTCGCCCAAGCCGGCTTGGGGTGCTTGGCTCTATCCTGTTGCTTGATGCGAGGGCTTATGTTCTTGTATGTCTTCGTTTCTGGTAGCAGTTTCGAGCCGAGCCCCGTCAACTTGAGCTGTGTAGGCCGTTTTGGGCACACAGAGATTCGATTGAGCTGTTCTAGGCCGTTTTGGGTTTCCATGGAAGTTCACTGTTTGGGGTCTAATCACCAGAAAGTAATGGGTGAGAAGAAAATGTAAGCACTAAATGAGCCTGTTAATCGTTCAATGGACAGCAGTAATTCTCCCAAAGGCTCGTAAACTTTGTAACCTAGAGAATTGAGTGAAAGAAAGAGAGCGATCATTTCCCCTTCATTTTCCTATGTTTTGGTACGAGGTTGTTGGAGCTGCGTTGGTGCCCGATATGACATGGCATGGGTCTAATAAAAATCGCTTGACGCTTCAAATCTCTTCACTGTGTGTCGCGTCTGTCCCCACCGAAACTGCCCGGAGCGAGCAAGTTTTGCATCCATCCCGTGTAGAACGCCTGGGGAGGGGGTTGTTTTTCATCTCTTCAACATTATAGTATTGTTACAATATTGTCGCGATGTATTATCGCCGAGGCCTCGGGACGTAGGCGTCTAGGTTGTCAGAACAGGCACCCCCTCCAAATCCTCCCCCCAAGCCCAAACCATGGAACGGGCTGGGACCAAGGGGCAGTTGCTATAGGGAACCCCCACTCCACCCGCTGAGATCTTGGCCTTTGGGTTAAAGCACCACTCTTAGGCCGTACGAGTAGCTGTTTGGGTATCTTAAAACAGGCACCTCTTATCCCCTCCCCAACCAGATTGAGCTTTACCTGGCAGCCCTGTATCTGCCCTTTTCGTGTGTAGTTTGGCGACATTTGTGGGAGCAGGCGCAGGCCCGCCCCACTCCCCCACCCCCCACCCCCTCCGGGAGCTGCGTTGGGCCGAGGCCGGGTCGCGTAGCGTAAACATTAAGGTTGTTGGAACATGTCGCAATATTACCCCTGTGCCAATTTGCAAGCCTATCATCCTCTCGCCCTCGACAATTGTCAAGTCCAATGCTTCGCAAGAATGCTCTCAACTCTCCCAAGCAACAGTGTTTGACAGCGCTTGTCGCTGCACAACTGCGCTCTTTTATCACGCCGGTCGCAAGAGTGGCAAAGTATACTTTGCACTGACTACCACGCACATGTGTTCTCTCCATCGAACATTCAGGTGATGTCATGTCGGGCTAGGGCTGCGCAATTTCTGCGCAAGTTCTGCGCAATGTCATTACGAAATGATTGATAACGTGAGTGGTCGGTTGTATCGGCCCAACTAGCGTTTCGTGTACAGAGTTACAGCATGCTCGAGCTCTTTGGGTCCATGATCAAATTCAGCTGCGCTTCCTTCAAAATCCTTAAGCTACAGTGATGTCCTGATCTGGCAAAGCCGCACACCGTTGGCATTCTGCTGAACGCTCAGGCACCGCCTTCTTCAGAGCTCAGCGGCGCATATGCCGCGTCTGCTGCGGTGCCTGCGGTCGAACAATGTCAGAAATCATCAGGAAGCGGGGTCGAACGATGTCGGATATCATCGAAAGGCTCGGTCGCTCGGCTTTCTTTTTTTGGAAAACGGCTATGCCGAACAGATCGTTGTTTTGGGGGGACGCCTGCCTTCCGGAACAATTTCTCGCCTCAGCGAACATGGAAAACACATTTGCTGGAGCGTTCCTGTTCACTCTCCCACAAATTCCCCGGCTTTGAACTTTGGGCTGCCAGACGCCCGGGATGCGCCTCTCGCAGTTCCGAGACAAATCAGCCTGCAAAGACTCAGGATAATTCAGGTCAGAAAGCCACGCGCACTGAAAGACTTTGTCAGCCAGGCCCCGCACAGGAAGGGGCCGAGGGTTAGCAAGGAAAGTCCAGAGGCCTACACAGCAGGTGGCACCGAAAAGCTATGCAGAACTGCTAGATAAACTTCGATCATCCCCACTCTACAGCTAGGTTAAGTACAATTAGTGGGACTTTCTGTGGGCTTCTCTGGGGGTGGGCACTGCAGGGACCAGGCTGGCAGACCGGGACACCGGGTGAGGAGGCGAGGAGAATGGCTGACTGAAGACCCTGTCTCTGTCCCAAGCTCGCCTTCATCAGGAAGAGCAGCGCCAGCCAGGGCAAATCTTGAACGTGACCGACCTGCCAGTTCCATTTTGAGCTTCAGAAAGTTTCAGCCTCCATCCTGTGCTCTCTCATTGCTCTCTGAGTCGGACGTAGGCTTGAGCGAGGCCGCCATGCTCGCCCACCAGAAAGGCGCAATCAAACGCACCTTCCTGAGAAGCAAAACTAGGACATGCCAGCGAATGCCTAGGGAATGAGCCGTTGGACCGATCTCGACCGATGTGGACACATGTGGACACATGTGGACACATGTGGGCCGCCAAGCTTCGGCCTTTGTCGGAATGAGCTTCTTGCAGCTGTCCTCTCAAGGAACGCAACGTGGCAGGTTGTCATTGAGCCGTGAAAGAAAGACTAAAGAACGTCCTGCACGTAGTCCCATACTATGCCTGTGTCAGAGTCAGGCACGAAAAGGTGGCACCGGCTTGGGAAAGCCACCCCGGCCTTGCCAGTAAGTGAAGTGCAGGCTGGTCCTCACTCCAAAGCTTAGGCTTAGCTAAGAGTTCTTTTCAGACCCGTCGGAACAAGCTCACCGTGTTGCGGATCGATCTGCTTCTCGCTGAGGATGGCTGAGGGCAGAGCTTCCCCTCCAGCTTTACATCCCCAGCTTTTGCTTTCAGTTGCAGCGTGCAGGGCACGTCTGTCCAAGAGGGCCTTCCAAGGCAGGAACAATCCCAGAACCTCGCGTACCAAAGAGTGCAACATTGCAAACTTCAACGTCAACGCCGTCTGAAACATCAGCAGCTACTTATGGTCAAGCCTTGCCTTAACTTGCTGGAAAGTGCAACTTTGACTGGGCTTCGGGTCTGCGCATGACTGCTGCACAACCGGCGGCTGAACCTTTGTGGTGCTATGCTTCATGTGCGAGAACAGAAGACTCGGGCGAGGAGAACAGCTGCTTTGAAATCCAATGGCCCCACACAAAGAACAACAAGTCACATAACCCAACCAAGGAGTGTTTGTTCCACGCTGGGCATTCACTGTGCAAGCGTTTGCGGGGCGGGGCGACAAGGGAATTACACACACCTTCTGGGCATCTCATGAACCAAACTGGCCAACAGGACCTGTTCTCCCCTTGGAGCCTTAATTACAATGATATTTTCAATATCCTCTTGGGTTTTATACTATACGAACAAAAAGAAAATTCCCAAGGGGGATATGGGGACGTTGCGCCGAGACCTTTTAAAATTAAGAGAACTGGAGATCCTTGACAATCCTTGACACATCCAATGTTCAGCCGAACGGGGCAACCAGGTCCAGCGTTGGTCTGCTTAAAACCGCGCACACACACAGACCCCACTGCAGCATAGAGAAATGCAAGGCGAAACGAAGCAACAATTGTTCCAGAGAGATAGCTTGGTACTACAGAGATGAAGGCTTAGGAAATCCCAACGTGAACTCGTGTGACTGTTGGTTTCCTCGCCAATCTGAGCACTTGAGGTCAAGCTATGAGACACCATCAAGTCACCAATGAGCTGACCAGCATCCCCAATCATTCTGCCACACTTTCCCAGCAGTCGCAGCGGTTACAAGTAGATGTGGGTAGATCCTACATGCAAACCTGGAGAACTCACGTGTCAGGGCGCACCCGGTGATCGGAAACTCCCATCCTGACCAACAATAGCGATGGCTGAGGCTCGTAAGCGCGTTGCGCATGGACATGCACTGCAGGCCCGGTTGCATTCAGGTTCGTGCCACTGGTCACGAGCTGCCTCCTTTCCATCCAGAGCTATAATGCTCCGGGGAGAGGATCTCGCCTTAGGAATCGCTGAGAATGGACATGAGTTTCGTCACAAGTTCACAAGTCTCACCCAGGCACACGGCATGTCCCATCCTGTAGATTCTGCCGAACTTCCTGCGGTGCGTTTCTCGAGAAGGGAATGCGATTGCTGCGCTCAAAGAAGCACTCTGTGGCACTCTCTGCACAGCCAGCAGGCCGATGAGGAACGGTAGACAGTGTTGCAGCATGTTGCAGCACACTGCACACAGCCTCAGCATCCACGAACCGCTTCCAAAAGTAGGCATTCAGCCCAAGGACACCTCGGGAGTGTCAGACAACAAGATGCACCTTATCCGCCAGGGTTGCGGTCAGCCCTCTGCCACCTCAACACTGAGGACGGCACATGCCATAATCACCGCAATGATTGCAAGACCTGCACAGCCCAACCTTTGCCACCTCCACACTCCTTGCCTGCTGAGGATTGCGCCGACGGGTGAGTACTCGGCCATGATGTTGGCACGCTTTGGAGTCACACTGCGGTTTCCGTCTTTCAACAGTACTTCGGCGTTGCAGTTGAGTTTTGTGGCCTTAGTCCTTTCCGGCGCCATGGATCAGATGTCTTTAAACTCTCTCGTGCATGTGACCAAGCTCATGAACCCCGATGCTCGGAGCAGGTTTTCACAGAAAGCGATGACGTGCCGAACCGGTCGAAGAGCTTGCTCAGCCGGCAGTTCACACCTTTTTCATCGTGAGCCAGGCTGCTTCTCGAGTGCCTGAGAAAATGATTTCCAAGAAGCTAGGCGAACCACGCGATGCTTCTCCGTCAGTCTGTTTCTGACCGTCGCTTTTTATCTCCCACCCTCCCTCTCTCTCTCTCTCTCCCTCCCTCCCTCCTTCCTCTCTTCGCTAAGATTCATTAACCTCACTCCCCGTCTGCCTCTCCAGCCCTTCTTCTGTGCACACTTGGAGTCTCCAAGTTGGAGCTGTGCTTTTTCACACAGCTCGTCAATGGAAACGTGCACTTCAAAGCAGCTCAGCTCAATAAACTGGTACTTGCAATTGCCACTCCCCATACTACCACCTTACACTACTAAATACTGTAAATGCAAAGAGGCTCAAGGTCAGGCTGCATTTGCCGGCTCGGCTTCAGGGACAGTATCCTTGACGACCGCATCCGGCAAACCCTCCAGCAGCAGCCTTGGAAGATGTGGAGACTTGGTTTTGCACCCACGATTGCTAACCCGGCACCGAGCAAAGGGGCGCACCATGGTGCAATTGTGATCATGTTAATACCGAAAACGCTTGACTCCCGAGACTGCTACGATCATTGATGCTGTCAGCTTTTGGGCATCCCGCCGTCGGACGCCGTTGCAGTGTGCGGCACCGAGCACGGCCACAACCGAACCGGGAGCCTCCTGTCAGGCACAAGGCGAAGGCGTGCAATGAGATCTTGTGAATATTGGGGGAGGGGGGTCCGGGAGGGGGGTCCCAGGGGGGGTCCGGGAGGGGGGTCCCAGAGGTTCCTGTGTGGGCTAAGAGCATGCTAAGAGCTGGCCTTCTTCTGGCAAACTTTCTTGATGCTCTCGGCGAGAATTAAGTCTCGATCACGCAGCAGAACCTGCAAGATGACGCGGAGGAGCACGGCCTGTCAAGATGTGTCAAGTTCATTCAAGTTCAACAAGCTCTGGGAGCAGACAACCCGGTCCCAGCTCTCACGGGGTTGTTTTGTCTTGTTCCTTACACGACCTGTGAGGGTGCTGCTGGCGCTCTCGTAGTGCACACTAGCAGCTCCTCGGCTGCGATCATGACAAGATCACCGATAAGACCACTCGGTAGTACCTCTCAAGAGTGAAAAATGCAGCTGTGATTTGTGTGGGCTTTGCTTGGCACAGACTGCTAGTCGCGGTTGTTGGCTCCAGCACTCGAAACAATTGCTCAGTAGTACTCATATTATTCAGCAAGTCTAAAAACAGCAAGTCTAAAACTAGGAGCAGCTCCGAGCATGCACGACTGCGCTCCGGGTCGAGCACCGCGCATATCAGGTAGAATGCCACCACAGCGGCTAGCAAGGTTGGTGCCTGCGGTCCAACCAGTGTCGAGCGAATCGGCACTGGTAAATGTCTTTCTGTCGGTGCCTTCAGCGCGGTGGAGAGCAGGTAGCGTGGCACAGCAACCACAAATCCGAGGATCCTCGGCGTGTTGTGATGGACAAAACGCTGTGGGAAGCCTTGCATGCTTAAACACGCACCGCTGCTTATTCCACTCCAATCACCCTCTGCTGGCAGAACAGTTTGTCTGAACTGGGCAAGAATGCAGTGGTCTCTTGCGTTTGCGTTGTCACACGGGTTGGTTTAAGCAAGCGCACGTTGCTGCACTTCAAGAGAGGGCCAAAAGAGCTAGAAGCTGTTAGCTCATGAAAAGTGCTCGTGAAAACACATGGGACACCCCTTTTGTTCAAATTTCAACTGAGCAGACACTGTCCAAGAGCTTCTCTTGAGCATGTTCACTTGAGCAAATAAAGTCCGAGAGCTTCATTTGGGGGAGGCTCTACTAAATCACAACAGCGCTTGAGCTTTTTGAGATAATGCGTCGCATGCCTTGGGGGCCGTCGCTTGGAGAAGTCGGAGCAACCGAGTCAAGACCATTGCCTCGCTTGAGACAGACCAGGTTATCCTTCAGATTCGGAACTCCAAATCTGCTGCAAGAAATCCAAGCACGACCAGGTCGCACTGCCCAGTCACAATAATGAATGGAGCTGATAATCGGTTCCATTTGGACTAAAGTTCTGCCAATTGAGAGACCATCCCTCCTTGTAGTCGCCTCAGTCCTAAAGGGAAACAGCACTTGCAGATTTTGATAGATTTTGCCTAGCTGGCGAACCACTAGTCCTGATCCGGTTGTAAAGATAAAGGAGCCCAATGCACCTGCACTACCACGTGCACTAGAATCATATCTTGGGCGGGGTCACGAGAGCCCATCCGACAATGACACACATGCTGAGGCCATCGCAGCTCGGGATCTGCAAAGTCTGCGAGGCCAAGCCCCTGAAGATTAGTCGCATGTACTCACACGCATGACAATCAACAGCAGGTCAAAGGCATCCAATGGATTCTTGATCGGATGGCCTCCCCAGATGCCGCGCTGCCCTCCTTCCTGAACAGTAGTGCAGTAACGAAGGGCGAGGAGGGAGGGAAGGGCCGAGAGCTGATGAGATGAAATTGGGTGGCCCGGCTCAATAACTAAATACGTTAACTACTACTACCTGCTAATGGCTACTACTCCTCCTCCTGCAACGAACAACAGCAACAGGAGCAGTGGACGTGGCGCAGCAACGGCAGCACCACCAACAACACAGCAGCAGCACCCCTCACGGCCACAGCTGCGGCCACAACCCCACTCACAACTCAGCCGATGCCCCCACACAAGCGCACAAAACAAGCACTCAAGGAGGTTGACACCTCAAGCACTCAAGCTTGTTATAATCAGTTGCACAAGCAGAAGCACAAGCTGCCTCTTTCTCAGGTTGGCCAAACTGGCCTCAGAAACGTACAAGGACTGCCTCTCAATTGCAAAGTTGGTCCAGGGTCAATGAAAATTGTGGGCAGCGTGGCTTGCCGCACACCTCCATACGTCAGCGCTAGTAACGATAGAGCTGAGTTGCAAGCATCTGCTATCAGGCTATGGCGGTCACACCTGGGCCCAGAGCCATCCCGCTGATGAGTGCGGAACCTTCGAATTGATACAAGACGGGGTCATACAAGGGTCTGCATCATCGTGGCTACAACGTGGCTACAACAGGAAACCAATGTCTGGTGGTAGCGACATCACACCTCCGCCAACTGCAGCGACATGTGGCGCATTCTAGTGCAATCCAAACACATGGCCCAGCCTGTTCTTTGCCATCCTTCCAAAGGTGATAGCAAGTCATCGATCGCCGCCCTCCGCAAGCTGGACATGACCAGCGGTGACTAGCGGAACACCAATCCTCTATCAGCAGAGAGCATCCTCAAAAGGGAATGAGCGCTTCTTCACTAACGAAATTTGAAACAACTCGTACAGTATCCGGCACCTCCGGTAACTCCGGTGACTCTGATAAGGTTGTAGCACCCCCTCGTGAAGATGCAAAGTCAAGCTCTGGCACAACCTCGGGGATACCTTTGGGCAAATGGTTAACCGGCTCCTTCTACGTGCTTGACCTTTAACTCTCATTGCGACCCTCCCCCCAAACCACAACACTGACATGCAAAAGCTGCAGCTTTGCTTAGGTGTCGCGACGATTCGCGATGTGTGCCCGGGCCAATGACGCGAATGACATTTTGGATCATTTTGGTGCGTGCGTGCAGCCTGCCGGCTGTGCTGATATCCCTGGTCAAATCCTCGATTCGCTGGTCGCCGAGGACCTGAGAACAATTCATGAGGCACTGTTCCATGAGTGGCTGTCGAAGACTCCCTGCTGACCTCACGAGGCTGCAGAAGATCGGCCCGCGGCCACGCCAACACCACTGGCCTCCGCGATTTCTGCAGCGGCCTGCCAACTATACATACTACATGCCTGCTGTCGTGTCGGCATGTGCAACAAAACTGCAACACAGGAAGATGCAGTTCTTTTGACTGGCGCACGCATGTAGGGATCAGGACGCTCAAATGCTCTCACTCCGGCGTGACCATGACCAAGCAGCCAAAGTGCACACCCTCTGAACCAGGCACGCCATCACAAATGTCCTCCTCCATGTTTGCCTCAAAGTCTCCGTGCGCCTCCTCTTCGAGGCAACTTTTCCTGAGTCGCAGTCCGGTGCAGCGCGCACGGTGTAGGCTGCGCAGATGCTGAAGCAACAAAGCCTCCCCAACCCCCTCCACGTGCTTATACATGCGTTCCCTTGTACCAAGCCACAAGCAAGAGCCGTCAAAGTCTCTGACTTCCTGCAAAGTGGACAGCGTGCCAACATGCTCCGAAGAAGGTATCGCATTTTATGACAAGACCGGGAGAGCGTTCGGTACTTCACGTCCTTCGCTCCAACAGGCTTGTCTTCTGTGGGTAGCTCGATCTGCACGCTGCAATTCTGAAGATCTTGCCTGCAGGGTGCTCCAGTTCATGGGACTCGCTACCCTTTGAGGCCCTTTGCGCACGCTTTGAAAGAGAGTCACTAATGCCTACACGACAGAATACATGCAAGGACCGACACAGAGCTGTCGCTTGATCAGGACCCCTTCTCCGCTAACCAACGGAAGACGTGTTCACTGAAACATGCAGCAGCTGTAAACTGCCCCATATCCGGGAAAGCCTCGGGACTTTGTCGGCAATCGCTTTCATGCCAGACTGGTAGTGCTGAACCCCTTGCCATGACGTCAAACTAGAACTTCGTTCACTGTTTGGGCTTTTGTTAAGCTGGAGGAGCAACTTGCCTCAACTGCAGCTACCACGGAACCGACTACGCATTGGCACAGCATGGACATCGAATCTCTCGTGGAACTTTGTCAAAACACCGTCGGCACTTCAGTAGCATGGACACTGCCTAGGATGTCTGACAAGGATCGAACGTCGAATATGCAGATCGCACGTCGTTTCAGGCAGGTCCCGTCAGTCGGCTGGCAGCTGCCACCTCGCTGCTCTCATGTCAAAACATTAACTTCTGCGATGTGGAGTTTTCCCCAGCGGGTTGCAGGCTTGAACATCAGACTTCCGCCCATGTCCCCTACAGGCTTGTGGTCTTCCACGTGGTTTTAAGTAGTGGTTCAAGTAGTGGTTCAATCAGTGGTTCAACGCAAGCCCGAAGCCAAGCTGCACTGTGTGTTGAAGAGCGCCTCCTCCTGTCACCAGTAGGGATGGGGTAGTGCATGTTTCACGTGAGCGGGGAGCGTCTGTGATGATGCGAGACGGACGGTTGACAAGACAGGTCCGTTTCTCCCAATGCTTGAGTCGCAGAGAGCAAGTGTAGACGATCATTCCTACGGTCCTATTCTTCCTTGCCTGAGCGCTGTCCATCTTCTGAGGTTCCTCACATCCTTCGTGCGTGCCTTCCACAGCTGGAAATGCCCATTGACAAGAGCATTCAACTTCATCAGTCTCTACCTTTGGAGGTCGTCAAGACTTTAGCCGACTACCCTCTGACAATTCACAAGTGCCCAAAGACAACAGCATCGGACGAGTTGCGCCGCACGTCGCGCCGCTTGCGGTATCTTCGGGCTTCCAGCGAGGAGTTCCTTCTCACTCGAAACCGGAACCGCTCGGACAGCAGAACTCGAACATTGATAAAAACTATTCAACATATGCCGGAGACAGTAATGCCTCTGTAATCCGCCCGTACCCCCCTCTGCTGCGCTCGTGTTCACCCTTGCATAAAAACGGAGAGGTACATCACTAGTACAATCCAAGTGGTTCCAAGTGCATCCTGGGGTCTGGCGAGTCTTTCGAATCTGGCCCTCCTCGGAGCCCTCGACCGTCAACTCAAACGACTCAATGTCTTCATCGTGCCGCAAGGCCAGACCCAGGACGAAAAGAATGCCGAACTGGAACAGTCTCAGGCGTAGCCCGGGCCCGCGTCGCAGGGAATCTCCATGCATACTATGAAGTTGGCAAAGACGGAGTCGTCAGCGAGCACTGTGCCCCACAGCCAAAACGTGCACTCTACACAGCACATGATAAGAAAAGCTAAGTCAGTGCTGGGTGAACACATGAAATCCGATCGGAGCAAAGGCTCTTGCAAACAACTTAGCTGTGAGCCGAAAAGGCCTGACCTACACAATCTCACAATAGTTCCTGGCACTCCCAAACACCCACCGGCAGTGGCAGTGGGCAACTCTGTCAAGGTTGCAAACATGGGAAGGAGGATAAGGAAGTTGCGTGTGGCCACAAGGCCTGCATTTCGTTGTCGAGAATCGAGCGAAGAGGACTCCCGGGCTTTTGCGTCTCCTCGATACTTTGCCAGAAATACTCTGCGAAAACGCAATGCGCAAAAAAAATAATTGTGGTAACTCGAAGGACAACGAAAGCTAGCCCAGACTGACGCCAGTATGGATTAGACACGCCGCACACCACCACCGCCGCCGCCGCCGCCGCAGCCACCATCACACTTTCCACTCTCCACCACCCACATCCAAACTCCCCCACACACCATCACGCACGCACACACGCACCCACGCACGCACGCACGCACGCACCCACCCACACACACACACACACACACACACACACACCGATACACGCAAACACCATAACCGCCATGACCACCTCCGCAGAGTGGTCGCACCCCGCCTCCACCACAAACACCACAACCACCAGACCACCACATACCCCGCCGTTTTCCGAAACACGCGCGCGCCTCAGAGAACGCGTGCTCACACCCCCGCCCCCTTTTCAATTTAAGGCAATTAAACAAGGCACCCAGGGGGGTTTGATCGACCTGAAGCCGAAGCCGAATTAGTGACGCTTCATTGTCGTAGGTGATGCCGTATTGTCCGACGCCGCATTGCGGGGTGACGCCGAATTGTCCCCTGACGCTGAACTACAGCGTGAAGCCGAATTACCCCCTGACGCCGAATTGTGAAGCCGAAGAACCCCCTGATGCCGAATTGCGAAGCAATGTTACCCCATGACGCCGAATTATGAAGCCGAATTACCCCGAATTACCCCTGACGCCGAATTATGGTTCCTGACGCCGCCCACGTCGACGCCAATGGCTTTGGAGGAGCTTTTACTAGAGCAGTTTTTGGAGTCTTTTGGGAATTTGTGCCCCAGCGACAACCCCCATGCTTGCCAAGAGTCGGCGGTCACTTGGGCACTAATTCTTCCTGCAAGAGAGCCCTGAGTGAGCGTATTATCTGATTATTTCACATCCAACGACCTGCTTGCAGGACTTGCTCTTGCTCAGTGTCGCTTCAATTTGTCCCCAACTGACCGCGCATCTTGGGGAGCGATTTTTGGAGCAGCTTTAGCTTTTGGACACTGGAAGTTTTTTGTGAGGTCTTTGGAGTTGAATTTCGTGCCTCAAAGACAACCCACTGCAAGCCTCCTGATTCGGCTTGGCAATGCGTCTCCGCCTCCTAGTGCGGATTCGCAATGCGTCTTCGCTTCCCAATCGCCTGCCAGTGTGTATTTGCCTCACAATGACTCAGTGCGTGTTCGCCCAATGCGGCCTCGCAATGCTCCCAAAACCCCTCCCCCATCCCCCCCCCGACCCCCACACCCAACACAACAGCCATCAGGCCGTCAACGATAAGCAAATCCCCCCACCCAAACAACACCCAGCATCATCTCCCCCCCTTAACCTGACCCCCCCCATTCACGGCGGCCTCGCGTTATCGGTTAAATCCGCCGAGGCCGGAGGCCTGAGGCGTTTGATCTCGGGAATCAATCATCCAGCCACATTGAGGCCGGGTTTTTTTGGTCCGAACGGTACCCCTCGCAGTCGACCTGTATCCAGCTGCGGCCGACGTGCCTGGACCAGCACGGATTGGGCCCAGGTTTCGGCCCTCCCCCACCCTACGCCCTAAGCCTGAAGCCCTAACCCTGTAGCTAGCTAAGCAAGCCCTGAGCCCAAGCGCTGAGCCCAAGCTTCGAGCCAAAACCCTTGCCCCCCCTCCCTGCCCCTCCACCCCTCCCTTCCCCCCCCCCCCAAACCCCCCCCCCCCCCGAAACCCCACCCCACCCCCCCACTGCGCTTGTTGCGGCCCCTCACCCCCACTACCCCTTCCTGCTGCCTCGGTACCCTTGCCGAGGCGGCCTCGCGTTAGCGATAAAATTACATCAATCTGCCACGCTGGCTTTCGTGATAATGTGTCGCACACACTCCGTCCATGGCAGCAGCACAATGGGTCTCCTCCACTCTGGTCCACCGAGTTTTGCCTGGGGTTTTCACCAGTACCGACATCGATTAGAAACAGCATGCTGTCCGACTGTTCATTGCCCAGCTGCATGTCTCCAGCACTACGGCACTGAGCTCGCTTTGCTCAGCCAGCTTCCTCTCGTGCAGGATGTGGAAAAAACGAGTTTCTGATTCCTTCCCTCTCGCCCAAGGCTGGGTCGTACTGCGACAATTACTGCACAGTTTGCTGCTTGATGAAGTTAAACAATCGGATTGCCTTTATATGGATTTGCTTCAAACGTTCAACATTTGTAACCGAAGTGCCTTGTCACTGCAGTCGCCTTCTGCACCGAACGCCTGAGAAACAATGCTGGAAAGCTATGGCCCTACCGTCCCTGCCAATGTTCCATCTCGGCGCCATACGGATTGAAGTGTACCGAGGCGATGAGCACCACTTCTTTGCCACTCGAAGGCTCGATAAAGGGCAAGACCTTCTCGAAACTTCACAAGAGTCTCCGAGAAAGCATCTAGCAAGCGCGTAGCCGCTAGCGCTAGCGGCTGCCTAGCTGATGCCAGTACCCGGCCTGAGGCTCCCGGGCAGTGGACCGGCGTGCACTTCGCGCAGCGGCGGCAAGCACGAGCGGCGCAGCTGTCCACGCCCCACAGTGACGACGCGCGAGGGCTGCGCGGTGAGTTCGCGCAACTTGCCCAGGTCTCCTCGGCCGCGTGCGTGTCTCGACCAGCCTGCCGAGACACTCCAAAGGAATCCCCGAACTCTTGCTGCGGATGCGCCCCACTCATTTAACAGCCTGCTGCCGCATGATGCTGCATGCAGGCCACAATGGCAAGACATGTTGTGCACACAGACACACAACAGAGACACTCCACTCCGGAAGAAGTCTCCTGCTTTGGCCGATGGGCGGCACAAGCAGCTGCAAAGCCGCCATTTTTCACTTTCCGAGCCTATTCCAATTTAGAGCACTTTTGCCCTTCGAAGCATCCCTTTTACGAGAAGTCGTGTTACAAGCCGCAGTGCTGTTGCCGCCTTTGGTGCTCCAGTTCCAGAATTGCTGTGCAGAATCTGCTACTCAGTAGTAAGCGGGGTGTTATATGCCGCTGTGAGCCACGGCTTGGCCGGCGTGAGGGAATGTGAGGGATTGAGCCTTTCTGAGCAATGTGCAACTGTCGAGGACTCGCCATGACTCACAAGGAACATTGCCACTGCAGCTTCTTTTGATCACCCAACTCGCCTTCGCTCAGCAGCCTTGGCACATTGCAGGCTATGTAGCAGAAAGAACCTACTTGCGAGACATGAACACCACACCTTAGCAGAATTGCAACAGTGCCAGCCAGGCTGCGGGTGATGCTGAACGGACATCTAGCCGTGGCCGTGAGCGGTTGTCTGGCCGTGAGCGGCCGTCTGGCCGTGAGCGGCTGTCTGGCCGTGAGCGGCCGTGGCCATCTGGCCGTGAGCGGCCGTGGCCGTCTGGCCGTGAGTGGCTGTCTGTAGTCCGTGAGCGGCCGTGTCCCTTGCCTGCGCGAAAATCGTGAAAGTCATTCACGGCTTATGTACATTTATGAACGATTCCGAAACAATGCCTCGATCTGTTCCGAAAACAAGTTTTTCGCACCTACAAGCACGGGCCCTGCCTGTCAAGCCGTGCCTACTTCAACAGTTACTGTCAGCTGTGCTGAAGATCGGCGAGCTGGCTCATGGGAAGGCTCACGGGATGGCTCATGGGCAAAAGATCGTGCAGACGACAAACTGCGCAAGCCTGGCTGTGATCGATCTCGATCTCGATCTCGGGTTTTTGCAGAAGCTGGTGGCGGCCAAACGCATTCGCCTCAAGTTGTCAAGACACTCTTTCTAAGCCTTCATGTCTGGCAGCCGTGAGGGTACCTTCAATGTCGGCACTGCCATGCCATTAACATGCTGTGACCTTTTGCCAAGTGGCGATGGCGCAATTCTCCCTGCGTCCGCAGGCGAGCGACCAAGTCCTGTTTTGCACTAGCTGAATCTTGCTGACAGCGGTGTTCAGCCCTTCCTAAGTCTTGGTTCAAAACATCCGGCTGTCCTCCATCGTTTCGTCGAAACCTGCTCTCGCCCCCCACCCCCAGTCTCCCTAAACCCTAAACCCTAAACCCTACCCTAAAACGCGGAGCTTCACACAAGCTACTGTCAGAGATGGAATGGCATGGAATGGCACTGAACCTCTATGTCCACACAGCCTGGCCTTTGAATGTGTCGAAGTAGGCTAGATGGGCATCACAGAGGAGCTCGGCGATGTCACAGGTGGAGCCTCAGGGCAAGAATTGAACTCAGCAGATACCGATCGCAGGACGAAGTGACTGCTGCTTTCCAGGAACGGGAGCCCTCGATCACCAGTTCATGGTTGACGTCATCGAAGCGTATGCTGTTTGTGCCGCTGGTAGCCTGCATCCTGTCCACGACCTGAGATACACAGGCAGCTGATCAAGACTTTGAAGAAGCACGTGTTCTGACCCTCTGTTCAAGACGGAGAAGAGTGGCAGTGGAGCATCGGAGAAAGGATGAGAAAGGAGCGGCCTTTTGCAACTTGGGACTCCGAACATTGGTCCCTGCGTCGACTCAGCAGTCGTCATACGGAGAAGGAAGATGATGGCATATGATGGCAATATCATGCTCCGCATGCTTAGACCTGCCTCCTGCGATCGCCTGACCTTGAAACTTGCCATGAAACGCCTATGCCGCAGCCGAGAGGCAGCCCCATTGCGGCCTAA